GTAGATGCCTAAGAAGACTGCAGTAAATAGAAGGAATGGGTTCCAATCAAATATATAAACTGTATAGACCAGCAAATGTAGTCGAATATATTGCTTAGTTGTCAGGAGTAAAGACTACTTTATATAAATGACTGATAACTTAACTGTAAAAAAGCTATTGTCTTAATTCCGCCGCAAGTTCCGCCCAGTAAGCACATTTCTCGAGCAATGAATTGCTTGCTTGTTCCATCCTAGTATTATTCGTCTCGATGTTAAGAAAGCTACCACCTACAGATCTGTTCCAAGTTGGTGTTCCATTGGCCTTAAAGATGTTGGGATCGCCAGACGATCGCGCGAAACTAGTCCAAAAGGCCTGCACGACAGGTACTATCGCAGCATTAGACTGACCGGGCTCGTAGCTAATGGCACCTGGCAAAGCAGCGTAGTTGACGGCGAATGAGGGCCCCCAGACAGCCTGCGTGTCCCAAGTATGTGGCACAATGTAGCCAGCCGCGACCTCGAGCGGATCAAGGATATGATCAAGATACAAGTACGCTGGAACACCAGCATGATGGAGACCGGCCGCAAACTGGAAAGCCGGGCAAAGGAAGGAGGAATCGCCGAGCATCTCTGCTGCTCTGTAGTATAGTGGAGCCTGCGTGACGTTGACGTTGGGATACGTCGCTGGTATGTCTGAATAAAGGTGGTTCAGCCTACTCAGGGCCTCTTTTGTCAAACCAGGGAGTTGCGCCGTTAGGAACTGGTTCACATCGTCAGTAGTGTTGGCCTGAGGTGCAAAGACCGTTCCCTCCGTATTCGAGGATCCCAAGATGATTGGTTTGTCTTTGGCAAAGCGTCCTTGTTGAAGTAGAGTGGAAGGCCGATCTGGGAGAAAGCTGCCGTCGATAGTAGGGCCATATCCAAAAAGAGCAGGCTCGTGTTGACCAGGAAATGGGATAGCCATATTCTTGGCTTGAAACTGTTCGATAGGCAACTGGCGCAAACATTCCAAATCGCTACAGTTCGTGGCAGTAAGCAGGTGATCGTAATGGAACTGCATCTCATCAACAGTGTAGACTGAGGGCAGATACATGGACTCGGCAATTCCTGCCCTCCACTGCTTGGTGCTATTAGCGGAGTTGCCTCTGTATGCCAGTAATTGTAGGAGAACACTGCCTCCGCCAACTGAAGTACCGAAAAGTGTCACTTTTCCCGGATCGCCTCCGAACTTGGAGATATGTTCATGGATCCAGTTGATGGCGGCCACCTGATCATGAAGTCCTACATTCAGGTTTCCTTCTTCCTTCAATTGATGATTGGCGAGGAACCCGTACGGTCCAACACGGTAGTTAAAGGTGGCCACAATCATGTTTTCCTGGGTTGCTTCGATAAGGCCGGAGCCATTGTAGTTTGCGTTGATGTTCTGGACAAACCCACCACCTTGGATCCATAACATGACCGGAAGACCACCATCTTTGTTGAGGGTCGCATTTTTCGGAGCGTATATGTCGATGAACAGGCAGTCTTCTGAGAACTCCAAGTCGGGGGTCGGAATAGATGGGTTGACGCCATAACAGACAGCGCCGTGCTAGTATTCGAAGATCAGATATAGGTCTAGATTGTAAGTGATAAAATTCACCTTGTGAGCCTGGACTAAGTGTGTTTCTTTCAGCGGTCGATCAGGCAACCGGAAACGGCGTGACCCCGTGGGCGGCGCAGCATATCTGAGCTAACATCAGCAGCATGTCGGGATGAGAGTGTTGTAAGTATCAACATACCGCATACCCAGAAACTGGTTGACACCATTGGAAAGGGCTACACCTTCGTATTTAGCATACCCCAAATTGACACGAGGTGCAGTCGTTGACGAGCAGCTGTCGACAGGCTTTGCGGCTGCGCTTATGCCTTTGAAAGAGGACGTGCACAACAACACGATGTACGAGAGTCGCGGCAACATGGTGGGCAAGTCTGGTGCTTTGGAAGGTATGTTAAAATAAGAATATTCGGCAGTCTGTGACTTGAGTAGACACAAGAGTGGTGTATGATCAGCACCTTATATACATATCACAGGACAAACCATCACCGGGTATTTAAAATAATTGCAGATCCTATACAACTAAGAGAGTAAAGCGTAAGCTGAATAACATTTGTAAGCGCACTACGGATCGAACCGTATTTGTCAGGTCTCCAACCCGACTAAACGGTTCGCGCGCGCTTGTCAGTAATCTCAAGATGGACTTCGGCCCTGTTAATGTGTAGCTTTTGCTAATTTTCGTTGATCTCACCATGCGGCTCATACGCCAGTGTAGCTGTCATAGGCGGATTTGCCGAGCATCGCGTACGCGATGCCCCACGTAGCCACACCTAGTCTGGAATAGCCTCAGGAAACAACCGGTAATATGTTTTTAGTAATTCTGTGGGATGAGCCAGAGAGAGAAATTTCTCTAATTTCGTTCAGCCACTCTTACTGTAAATCCTTCTCTTGTGACTTAGGTTGCTCGTCGTGTTGCATTGCCATATATCAATTTTTCAAGGTCCATCTCGACCTTGCTAGGTCTTGGAACGCCCGCTCGTGTCTCCCTGGTTTCTGATAACAGTCCCATCATCATTCGAAGGACTGAAGTCAATACACCGACTCTTATAACATGGTCATTAGTAGGTAGATAGATAACTCCGCTTCCAGATCTGGGCTAAATAATTTGTTGCTTGTGATCGTGTATACTTGGGAATGTAACATTCAGACTATTATAAATGGGAGCGCCGCGCTCACAGTTGTTATATTTTGTCGTTGGGTAGTTAAGAGCATGTTCCATTCGCTTACGAGATATAAGAAGAGTGATGTCGCCTAATAGTACTGCGCAGTGATAAGACTAACGCTGACTATTGATAACGACTCGTATGCCATTGGGTCCTCGTGATGGCGGGTCCTAATATAAATGGCGACAGAGACGCCTATACCTGCTCAGCATAACAACTTCGACATTCAAAAATGCCAGTAGGCAATAATATAGGACGCAGAGCAGGGTTATATGAAAAGGGCTGAAAGAGCCTTGAATTCTATCCTAGACTGGGGGTGAGCAGAGCTCCTTATATACTTATAGAGCATTATACCCTTATTCAGGAGGCTAGCCCGATCGTGGCTACCATATCTTCTAATAAATTACCTGTGGGTAAGCGTTTCTATAGGGCCTATGTGTAATCTAACGGATCTGTCAAGATATTGTAGTACGAGAGGGGCCTAGATCTTAAGAGGACCGAGTAAAATGATCGTAAGGAGGGCCAGCAATCAGCTGTGACGCGAGACCCAAGGTGCAATAACTCCTGGCATATGCCATAGCCTCGATGCGCGGAGATTCACGGTTTTGTTATAAGTCCCGACTGAGCGTCCGTTTTTAATTTAAGTCTCAATACATATCTGAGCTCCCTATCTCTGCCCTTGTCTTACTATACGCTTTCTTCTGATCACTCTTACGGAGTTGGGTCAGATTAAATAGTGCAGGGCGGATACCCTAGATTAAGCTTGGGTAGCTACTACGACTCCATTCGCCCTGAAAAAGAACACCGATGTCTACACATATCTCCAATCATCATGTCTCACACATACAATCTAGCCGCCAATGTCCTTTTTCTGGTTTGCCCTTTTCCTTTACTCCCTGCCAGCTCTTTCCTGGGATCGGGCTATTTGGCGGGCAATTATCACGATCGAATTCGGCCAATTTAAGTTTACTGATTCTCAGGCCCTGAAAGTCTCATTGTTGTTGAGTTGACACTTCACAGTGTAGGAATTGCTGCAATATGCCCTCGGAGACGCCTATGGTATCTGTCATAGGCTACAGCTGTAGCAACCCAAAGTTGACCTTACTTCGACGATTAGTGCTATGGTTAGCGGTGTTGAATCTAAGATCTTGTCTCTGTAGTTGATCTGATAAGAGCTCCCTATCACATTTAAACGGGTGCAACAGTATGCTTACCCATTCAGAGAAGGCCACCATGTCATGGTCAACTTAATCTTATGGACTCTTGATTGCGGCCCTGGGTGTTTCTAGAATATATAAAGCATGTGCCACAGTTGACTACGTGGTGTATTGCGGCTTTGGATATTAGCCAGTGCTTTATTTACGAACAGTTAGCAATAGCCATAAGACAATCGGGCGCTGAGAAGTTCGAGACAATTAATCCCCCTATTCAAAGCGCCATGCCCCTAATCACACTAATTGACATATCGGAGCTAGAGGGAAAGATAATCTATGCTACAGTTAGTGCCGGACTTCCAGGAGGTAAAAATCAACGTTGACTTAGCAAAGTTAAATTCTAAAGAGAATAGAGTTCGTCGTTCCGTTGCTAATGAAGAAGGTAGTGCCAGCTCATGCGATCATATAATCTGGGGAAATACACCCACGAATGAAAAGAATCACCGACGTGCCTTATTGCCGAACACTTTGGGGGAAACTACACTGACTAGTGCAATTGAGGAATTGAATTGCGTCTCCCACTTTACGAGTGCAGCAGCTTTACTTATTTAAAAAGTCGTTTGAGAAACAGCTGGAATACGTTGAAATGTGCCGGGCATCCGAGATGGTCCAGATTCCAGACTCGATGGTGAAACATGACAGCCAGACGGGTTTATTCTGGAAAAATGCAGTCCACCAATTGACCAAGCTTATTGTGGCGTCGATGTTGGTGTTTCAATTTTAACCCTGGTAGATTGGGGGCCCTGTGGAGCACTCTTCTAATTCCCGAACCAAACTCGCGATCCCTAATCAAGATGCAGGGCCGATGAAGATGTCAACACGGGCCACGGTTACGGCTGAACGGCATCTATCCGCGCATACCTCACGATTCAAGCTTCAAATGCGCGCTTCAGATATGGACAGGGAGTGCACTTGATATATAAGAGAGCCGCATGCTCTTAGCATAGTCTATCTTATTCTTGGCATCAGCATTCCATTCAACAGTATACTTCAATTCGTATATACACTTTCTCAAAACTTCCATTCTTTTAAACAATACATTCATTAAACATGTTCTCTTCAACCGTCCTTCTCAGCGGCCTGGTCGCCTCTGTCCTCGCAGCCCCAGCTCTTGAGCCTCGAGCCAGCTGCACCTTCACCGATGCCGCTACTGCCATCAAGAACAAGGCTGGCTGCTCTACCATCATCCTCAACAACATTGCCGTTCCCGCCAAGACCACTCTCGACTTGACCAAGCTCAATGATGGCACTCACGTCATCTTCCAGGGCAAGACCACTTTCGGCTATGCTGAGTGGGAGGGCCCTCTCATCTCCTTCACCGGCAACAACCTTCTCATCGAGGGCGCTTCTGGACACTCCATCGACTGCGAGGGTAAGAGATGGTGGGACGGCAAGGGCAGCAACGGCGGCAAGACGAAGCCCAAGTTCTTCAGCGCCCACTCCCTCAAGAACTCCAACATCAAGAACTTGAACGTTCTCAACACTCCTGTTCAGGCTTTCAGCATCAACAGCGTCACCAACCTGGGCGTCTATGGCGTTCACATGGACAACTCTCTCGGCGACTCTCTTGGTGGACACAACACCGATGCCTTCGACGTTGGCTCCTCTACCGGCGTGTACATCTCCGGAGCTGTTGTCAAGAACCAGGACGATTGTCTCGCTATCAACTCTGGCACCAACATCACCTTCACCGGTGGTAACTGCAGTGGCGGTCACGGCCTCTCCATCGGATCCGTCGGTGGACGCTCTGACAACACTGTCAAGACCGTCCGCATTCTCAACTCTGCCATCTCCAACTCCGACAACGGTGTCCGCATCAAGACCGTTTCTGGCGCTACCGGTTCCGTTTCCGATGTCAAGTACGACACCATCACTCTCTCCAACATCGCAAAGTACGGTATCGTCATTGAGCAGGATTACGAGAACGGTTCTCCTACTGGTACTCCCACTGCTGGAGTCCCCATCACCGACGTCACCATCAACAAGGTTACCGGAACTGTCAAGTCTAGCGGAACCGATGTCTACATCCTTTGCGCCAGCTGCAAGAACTGGACCTGGACCAACAACAAGGTCACTGGTGGAAAGACCTCTACCAAGTGCAAGGGTATTCCCTCTGGTGCCTCTTGCTAAGTGCGGGGTTTGAGTGAGGAGAAGTACACGGAGTTGTGTAGAACATGACATATAGCTGGTACTATCTTCTGTTTTATTTTTCTATGTATATATAGCCTATCAGTTAATACTATTCTCTCTGATGCGTATAATTATCTCCTACGCATATGGTATGTGACATGGGCCAGTCTTGCAACCCACAATATTATGCCAGAGTGCGGCAGGAGCTGCAGGCGAATCAACATTGAAAGCTACTGATACGTACACTGGTATCGCATAGGGCTCTGGATCCATAGAGGTCTGTTCTAATACCACCCACCACAGGTTGATGAACAGGACCGTATCTATTGCCTGCGCCATCACTCCGTACCTAGTCAATAATCCTCCCAGCTCCCTCTTCTCTTGACCGTGCAGCCAAATCCAACCTATAAACGTGCGTGCAATCTATGCCACTGGGACCTTTCTTACTAAGGTTGCTACAATACGCGAGACGGGTGCGTGAGTGTGCAGTTGACCGAGAGTCATTGATCATGATTGCTTTTGAGGCTCAATTCGTTCAAATCATGAGATGTCATTGTTATTGGCTGTCGCTGGTCCCACAGGGTCCTTGGCCCGCGGGGTCACAATCGCCAGTCAGCACTAGCGTTGGATATCTTGAGACCAAGAACTACCAAGTTTCGTTCTCCTTTGCTGTTAAAATGAGCGGAACTCCTCTAGTTCTGCGCCCAAAAAGTGCAGGGTTTGAGGCCGGTCATTTGCCTTACGAGTACATACCACTCGGCGCTGGGCAGATACGACTGCTGCGCCTCAACGCCGGCCAAGAAGGGGATCAGCTCAATGGCGAGCTCGTTGTCAAAAGCTTGGAAGAGCTTCCTCCGCGACAAAAAGCAGGCACTGCAGCTCAAACAGATCCGATAGACCCAGAGAAATACGTTTGCTTTGACGCGATCTCCTATGTTTGGGGCCAGTCAACCTTCACAGACACCTTCTTCACCCCCCAGGGTTCCATCCCCATAACAGCATCACTCGCTTCTATTCTACGCCGACTTCGCGACGAGAAAACTTCCCACCTTTACTGGGCTGATGGTCTTTGCGTCAACCAGTCAGATCTGACCGAGAAGGAAGTTCAAGTGTCTCTCATGGGCATCATTTACAGCTCTGCCATAAAGGTTCTGTGCGATATTGGCGAAGAAACAGAGAACTTTACACTTATACTCGATGCCATGGAGCGCTATTGGAAACGAAACATCCGTCGTGGACTTATGTTGGGTCAGGGGACCTACCTTGTGCTCTCCGGAGAGTCAGCCGCAAAGCTCTTGGGTATCCCATACCCGACAGATGAGGAGGCAGATGCCATTGAGGATGTTGAAGGAAGCGAATGGCCTGCGAGGTATCTTGAATTCATCTCCGCGCCATGGTTTCACCGCCTTTGGGTCGTGCAAGAGTTTGTCCTTGGACGGGATGTAATCATGATCGTTGGGCGTCGACACATCCCTTGGGGGCAGCTCTGGGCAGGTACTTTATGGTATAGCGGAGTTAAATGGCCGTGGGACCAAGCCGAGTACACCAACGAGGACATAGTAGGCACTTTCACATCATACAACTCGATGTGTTTTGTTCGTATGACTCGACTCATTGATCTCAACACGTTACATGGCCGTGAGTTAAACGGCATTGCCAAACTACTCCCTGATGGAACCGATATGAATCAGGTAAAATTGCCGTGGAACATGGTGGCCTTTTCCTCCCACGACTGCAGTGTGCCTCGGGATCGTTATTTTGGTATTCTCGGTATGATCGACGAGGACGACAAGGAGAAAGCACTCAGTCTTCGGCCTGATTATACTTGCCCGATGAGGGACATAACAATGCGATTCTGGAAATATGCATTACAGACCGATTCAGGAGGAGATCTCCTGCTTTGCGCTGGTCTACCTGGTCGTGCCGAAGAATACCCTTCTTGGATACGAGATCTTTCTGCACCAAAATCAATGAAGCATGTTTGGCACGGACGTCCCACAAGTACTGCATGGCATGCAGCAGGGGGGCTAACAAACACGTGGTCTATACGCTTCAGCAAAGATGATAGCGATCAGTGTTTTGTTCAAGGGCATCATATCGACGATATTACAGAAAAGTCGCCCGAGGGGGCTACTGATCCGTTCAACTATGCTGCACTGGCTCTCTGGATTCAAGAAGCTTTCGACTTCTTCACCGGGCCTGAATCGTCGGTCGATGACTTGGATACACTATATCCTCTAACTTCTGATCCTGTACATGAAGCGGTTCTGAAGGTGATGTTGGATTACAATAAACAAGACACCATGAGCCCTGATGACGAAGAGTTCAAGGCATTGTTGCGTGTGGGAATGTCTTTGCCTTGCGTCGCCTTCTCCACAGATGATGAGCCAAAAACGACGAGCGAAGAGGCGGCTGAAACAGAGGTCGGCGTGGTAGAGTCCATTCAGAGGAGGATTATTTCTGGATTCCAAGATGAAATATCCACTTTGCAGGGACTACTCTTTCGCATACACAAGGTAAGGGGATTGGGCTTTTATAAAACCAAGAAGGGTCTATTTGCTATGCTGCCAAAGTTCGCTCGCCCCGGAGACTCTATTTGGATTATCAGGGGATGCTATTTACCTGTTGCACTACGGCCAAGTGTATCGCATGTCAATTCATATGAGCTTGTTGGAGGTGGCTATGTGTATGGAGTTATGAGCGGGGAGATGCTGGAAAGACCTGGCTTTGAGTGGCAAGAAGTCTCCCTCAGATGAGCAACTTTTATTTAGCTAGCGTACTCAATATCAAACTTGTGCTCACGCTTATTAGAACCAACACGAACCTCCCACTTGGGCTCCCCTTGCAATCCCATAGTAAGCTCAAGATCGTCATGCTTTCTCCAACCCTCTGACGGATCGCCGACTCGTTGCCATTCGGTGATAGGCTTGTCCCAGTCACATTCGATCCGACAGAAGCTCATCACGGCAGAGTTTGATCTCTTTGGTGCTGGGTCCTCAGCGCTGTACACGATTTTGAATGCGCATTTTTCGGGCACATCTGTAGGACGGTAATAATGGTGGTAGAAGAAAGGAATCCGAGATTTCTTATCGATCTTATCGCCCTGAGATGTCTTAGCAAGGGGGCTTGTATAGGTCATAGACAGTTGGCTTCGTACCTTGAGCAAATACCACCTCATTCTTTCCACTCTCTTGAAGCCTTCTGGATTGAGAGTGACTACATCCTCAGGGTCGAGATCTAAGCCTTTGATGGAGGTGCTGACTACAATCCCATAGTGGTATCTTGATCGATAGGAAATAACATCCGGTAAACTTCCAAGAGCTTCTCGATCTTCTGGTGAATGGACTGGCTGAGCCGAAATGTTCTCCTGTAGCAGCCGTAGAACTGCACCTCGGGCGACAGCGGACCATCTTGAGAACTCCGATTAGCGTATGTATTATTTCAGGTGGAGATGTCTTACCCATCGCTTGGCCTGAGGACCTTGTTTGAGAAGATTTCGGTCAGCTTGTCATAGACATACTCTGAGCTGCCCAGCCCCCCAACTAGGAGGATTTTCTGGAACACGGGTGAGTTAGTTCATCTGGATCTAAGTCAGTTTTTCATATTTTACCTTTGGCGGTTTCCCTGTTTCCTCTTGAACCTCTTTGCATTGATTCCCGACCAGAGTGCGAATGCCTGTCAGAGATCTGTTGAAGAAGCCCGTCATTTCTTCACTTTTCAAACATGTCAGTATCTTGCAAATTACTTGTATCGACAAAACCTTACTTGCTGATGATCAGTGTGTCTTTGTGTCTAAGCCGTGCAAGCGTGCCATAGGCTTTACTTGGTGGGTGAAGGTGGTAGTTCTCCTGTGCGTTAGAAATACTGAAACTTCGTTTTGCGCCTAGCTCCCATTCCCGCAGAATGAACTGATTGTAATCAAAGTCCTTGAGAGAACTGATCTTCAGCTTAGCCTTGCCACGGACGTAGGATTCAAATGCTTGGTCAATCTGGAATGCGCCAGCCAGTTTTCCTATGCCACAGTATTAGATCTCAAATATCCAAACGCCTTGCAGATGGTAAGTGTCACTGACCTGTTCCTGGAACGCACTCTTCTAGTTTAAAGGGGCGCTCAGAGACAACTTTGTAACTGATGACATCCTGGCCAATGTATTAGCTTCGAAAAGATACCAATAGAAACGAAGACTTGGTGTCATACTACTGTACCACCGCCTGCGTCGCAAACAACGAAGGATTCATTTTGCTGTACTTGGAGTTAGCGTGATTCGACAGCTGAGACTTAAGTGACTATACGTACTTGAATTTCCGGAGAAGAGTTTCTCTGGAATAGGCTCGCCAACGCGGCAGCTTCGGGCTCTTGTACGAGTATGAGAGTCGTTTCTCCAATGTCTCTGTACTTCATGATTCCCGCAATTTTGGCAGCCTCTCTCATCGCACTCTGAGCATAGGCAGGCCAGATGGCGGGGATGGTGATGGCAACTCGCAGGGGTAGATTGTCTACATCCAGCATGGACTTTAGAGCCGCATAGGTGTGGTCCCACACGTTCTTCAGGTAGTAGCCAACAACCTGTACTGCCGTAAGTCTCTTCCGGGAATTGGACAAGATGTCTCGGGCCTGTTGGAGCTGGGGTGCATTGCGAATCTCTTCTTTGGCGATGTCTTCGTTTTTCAGCAGTAAGAGCTTGAACCACTTCATTGGCTTCATATCAGGCGTGATTTCAAAGCCCCATTTACCGGAATCAATGTCATAGAGAGTTGGTACTTGGACTTCGTTCTGGTTGCGGTGATCATCAGATGCCCAACCAGTGATAGAATTGACTTCTTTGGGATTGGTAGATCGTGCCCAAGAAACGCCCGAGTAGCTGCATTACAGAGATATCTAGATTAGTCGCTTGTGTCTTAGAAGAAAGCACTGTGTTGCATCTTGGCTCACTCACGTCGTCCCGAAATCGATGCCAATGGCAACGAATTTGGGAGAATAGTCATCAGGATATGTATGGTAAGAATGCATATTGCATCAGACGACAGGAGGGGCTAGTCTTCAAGTTGATAAGTGAACGCTCAAACTCTCCACGACTGACGGTCTGGTTTGTCGAAGACTGGTTGGGTATATGAGAAGTAGTGTGCATCTTAATGTGAACCTGGATTTAGCTTGCACTTCTCAAAGGTAGCCTAAGGCCGCTCTTGAGTCGCCAAGTTCATCCAGCTGCGGACGCCTTGTCAGGCAGTCTGCTTCCCCACTCACACAACTGAGACCAAGTTAGGCGCTGAGGCGTCTGCATGAGGTGTAATATTGCTTTGCCCGCATATTTCTCACCCACCTGAAATTGCACAAGCCCGCTAAGGTGGCAGTGGTGGGTGGTTTGCTTTGAGAGGGAGGCAGTTTACTCACAGCCTGATTTCATTCAGCGCTCAAATAAAGGCATGCCTATCCTAAATCGTCTTGTGCCAGCCTTGCGAGAAAAGAATTGACGATAACAATTCGGATTTACGGATGCGAATGGCTAAACCAACCATGGATCACAAAAGTGATGGCGTTATTCTGGTCATGGGAGTCACCGGTGCTGGAAAAAGCTATTTTTTGAACCAGCTCAAAAGCGAATCTGTTGCTGAAGGCCACTCCCTGTATTCAGGTACAAACTACCCCTCACTTGACCGTCACTGGTATCAAGACTGACTGCATTTACAGGAACACAGAAGTGCCAGGCTGTTCACATCATCCTTGATGAGGATGAGAAGCGCAGTATAACTGTGGTTGATACGCCGGGCTTTGGTGATACGTTTCGCTCCCAGGCAGAAATCGTTGGCGAGATTACGGACTACCTTGCCGCCCAGCATCTGTCTGGCCTGCCTCTTCGGGGTATTTTATACCTACACAAAATCACGGACAACAGAGTTACCGATGCTTCGCAACAGCACATCCAAATTCTCAGAAAGCTTGTCGGGGATAATGCCATGACTAATGTCATTCTGGTTACGACGATGTGGAATATTCTCCGCCCGGAAGACCACCGGCGTGCTGTACAGCGCGAGCAAGAACTTGTAACCAGCTTCTGGAGCTCAATGATAGACAACGGGTCCATCGTCGCCCAGTTCAACGGCACGCCAAGATCCGCTTATCCCCTCATTCATCAGCTGGCAGATCAGCAGAGCGTGGTCCTCGACATCCAGAAAGAAATCGTGGACGAGGATCGCTCAATCTTGGAAACCGCCACGGGCATGACCCTTGTTGAACAGCTGAGAGAAGACCATGATGCTTACCAGCTCAAGCTGTGCAACCTACGGGATGAACTTGGCCAGGAACAAAAGCTAAAGCCGGCCAATAAAGTGGAACTGAAGCGGCTGAAGAGTGAGATCAAGTCGACTGAGGAGGTTCTGGATGCTATAAGCAGTTCGGTGGGTCGCATGAGCGTTCGACCTGGTGCTCCAATGCGTCAGCGAATGAAGCAGGCTCTGAGGGAACATGGCGGGAAGGCTCCGGTAGCGATCGGGGTGGCGCTCAACATTACATTGTTTGTAGTCGGACTGTTCATATAGTGTTAGGCAGTCAAGCAGGGGGTTACGCCCAGAAGCCTTGTCGCGGTATAGATAGTTTTCTTCTTCTTCTTCTTCTTCCTCTTCTTCTTTTTACAATTCCGTATCTCCCTTTTCAAAGCTTTGGGCTTGAACTGTCAGTTGAGTTGAGGGGTACCAGTCGGGATGTCAGCAGTGACAGTTCCGTGCATGCCAAGATGAGAATATTGGACGGTGGCGGCTGAGTGGCGGGCGCGTGGGGGCTACCACGAACACCTATAGAGAAAACCCATGTTTTCAGCTAAGCCGCAGAGCGCTTATCGGGTACAATTACTTTAGAGACCAATTGTGAATTTCAGGTGACAAGGCTTATTACGTAGGTTAATTATATTAATAACTTGAAATTAAGGAAAATATCAATCCCCTCTCCCTAGCTGGTGCATACAATCCTTATAATATCAGGATAGTAGGTACATTGTATAGAATCAGGCTGTGAAACCATCGCTTCTGCAGAACGACAAATCAGGCTGTGAGTCAGCCCCAGGTCTGGCCAAAAATAGATTCTCGGCTAAGGAGAAATGAGCAGCTCGTATATGCATGTCTTGGCCGTCTTGCACGGCGGAGCAAAGGCGAACCAGCGCGCATACAAGGCTCTCTCGAAGGCCAGACGAGGTGAGATCAATGTATTGTGTGGGTGTAGAGCCCCAGTCCAGACAGTAATCGTGGCAATGTAACCGGCAGCGCTGCCTTGCTCTTCAACTCGGGGACCTGCGTGTCCTTTCTCGTCACTCTCAACCCCCCAAAGAGCTTCTCTCCCTTTCCCAGATTCCAACTCAAAAGTAGCACCAAAAGTCTGTCTCAACATCCAAAAGACAATCCTTGCCATTGTTGACTATGAAGCGTCCCCATTACGCTGAACGAGAACCTGCCAACCGCCCTCCCATCACAAAGGCAGGCCGTCCTACTGAGCCCTCTTATAGTCCGGGACCAGAAAAGCCTCATCGGAGCAGCTCTAAATCATCAAGACACTCAACTCACTCCAGGCGTCGCTCCATGGACATGCCGGAAGCGGAAGAAACCATCGATGATCTTGCTAAAAGATCATCTTCTCACGGTGTAATGCAGCGTCTGAAAAATAAGTTCTCGTCGTTGAGCCAACAACCATCTGCGAATAATGGAGTTAAGAACCCTGAGAGTCCTGGGAGGGGATCTTTCAACTCAATTCAGAAGTCAGTCGAACTAAGCGTACCAAATAGAGCACAAAGCCCAAGATCTCCAGTTGGTGAACCAAGCCAGCTTGCCGCTCAACCAAATGGCACTCCACATGCATTCGCTGTCAATGGTCAAGATCCCCAAGGCAACTTCCATGTATCACCAAGTGTTCAAAGTCCCTCATCTGGACTACCAACTGAAGATCCTGATGCCAATGGAGTTTGTACACCAAATGACCTTCAACTCGACCAATCCAAGGAACTCCCGCTTATTCCGTCAGCTCACCAAACCCATGCCATGACTGTATCTCGTGATGAGAACCTCTCTTATGGACAAAAGGATTTAGCGATGACTCTCAATGAGCAACTGGAGGTTATCAACGACCTCGTTGCCAAAAATGAGTCTCTTTCGCAGCAATTGGAAGTCGAGCGTCAACAGCGCCAAAAAGACCTTGCGTACTGGAGAAACCGCACCAGCGAGGCCGCAAGCAAAAATGCCCACCTTACCCCCGGTATGCCTCTCAGTCAGCCAGACACCGAACTCCGTAACGAGTGGCGGAACCTGGCCTTTGACGTGAGGAACTTTGTGGATAACCACTTTAACAAAGTGAGCGCTAGCAAGCTTGAGGCTTGGGGGAAAGAAAACGGGGATTTCCTTCGAAAGATCACCCCGACCTATCAACAAGTATTAGGGGGCAGGCGGTCAGGTCCTGCCATAGTAGAGGCGGCTCTTTGGCAAGGCCTCTACAGGGCGGTGTTTGGGGGCCTCAGGGACAATAGCCCCATGATCTGGGCTGGTCCATATCAACGGAGTCTGAGAATATTAGGTGAGCACAACAAGCTTTAGTATCTGATATCAAGGCTGAACTAACAAGTCATTAGTGAACGAGCTCCAGCAAGGCCAAAAGCAGAAGAACTCCGAGCAGTTTTCTCCCCTCTTCCATCAGTGGGGCGCTCTTACGGCCAATCTGATAGAAGTGCTTCGGGCGTCCGAACATCACTACCAACGGTTTCATCCCGTAGTCCAAGAACTAGAAGATCTATTCTTTGCCTGTCGATCTGTCGGTGTGATGTACAAGTCCGATACATATCGACGGGACTTGCGGGCCCTGGTCACGAAGGCTATCAGATTTGACTTCAGTCTGACTGGCCAAACAGCTGAGTATCTCATCGGCTGGCCGCCGTCTGGTAGGTCCAATGTGCCTTTTGATCAGAATATAATGCAAGTGTCACAGCGGGGTCCCCAGTCAACCAGGAATGTGAGATTCATCCTACAGCCTTGTTTTTTTCGAGTCAATAAGCAGGACGATACTTTGACGGTTGTTGATGAATGTACTGTTTGGATGTTTTAGTTTTAATATGTAATAGAGTGTGGTTCTCTTTGCATTGATCGTATCTCCCAACCCACTGTGTAGGCTAGCATCGAGACTAACCAATCTCACCTTCGACACTCGGTTGGCTGGAGCTGTCACTACCAAGCCATCGGGAATACTATCGTTCAGATCGATTAGGCTCAATGCGGACGCACGATCATGCGAAACTCCCGGAACCAGAGCCTTCTCGGCAACTGAATGTGTCCAAGCTGGAACCATGGTAAGTTCTGCTTCTCCATGAAAAGATTCGTGCCCGTAAGAAAGCTGGGGGTTGCCGAGGTAGGCATGCCTGTTGCAAAGGTCCAACCTGGGGTCCGACGCCGATCTGAAACTGCTTCAATAATGGATAGTGACCTGGTTTTCCGTCTAATGGTTGATGGGATCTGCATATGAAGAAAGGTATCGATCAACGATTCGTGAACAGTCTGGGGTTCTGAATGGCCACCAAGGTGAAGGTCAGATGTAGTAAATAATTGCCTCTGGACTATATAAAAACAGCGAGCGTTGTCCTGGTAATTGGTGATGGTATTAGAGCCAAAGAGCTTCTCTAATTGAGCTTTGAGCATTTTCATGCTAGCTGGAGATTACCATCAAAGATATGGCGGAGGGTTCGGTGGCTGAGCGCACAGTTCCGCAGTGGTATCATAGGTTTCGCATACAAAATGAGACGAATCCGAAACGAGCGCCTGATTTAAACTGCCGATGGCACTGAAATCCCACTTGCCATCAGTGACTGAGGATGGTTCTGAGCCACCAAGACTCGGTTCTTGTTGCGCTCGGTGACAGGGACGTTTGTTCATTTAATATCTCGGTGGATAATGTCTTGTCTGTGAACCCAGTAGATAGCCTCGGCAACCTCACGCAAGATAGGAATAATCCATTGTTCAGCAGGAGAGCTTAAGTTAGCACAGAAAATTTATTCAATATAGATTATAAAAGAAAGTCTATATCCAGGTAGTTATTTATACCCTGAGATAAACTTAAGCCCAAGGTATTTTCTATTTCATCAGAATATAGTAAAGGCTGTGCCTTAATGTGTTAGCTTACTAGTTAGTACGTAAGGTTAAAAAAGAACTTATCTTGTATATTGTCATTGCCATTATTATCCGACTGATGATTTTGAAAGTGCCTTCTCCATGTCCACAAGCAATCATAAACCACACTCATACTCAATCTGTTTCGGACTTGTTTTAGTTGTAAGTCTCCCAGTGTGACACCGCCTACAACTGCGGGATCGGGTAGGGCGCAGAAGAAACCGATGATATCACCTAGACGAGCTGGCAGGTCGTTGTTTACGACGCTCATCTGTCGAAGTCCAGTAATAGAAGACTCGAGAAGTTGTTTTCCAGCTTTGGCATCAACGATGGTGTTGAAAAACCCATTTGTAAGAATTCTTAACAGCACAAACGCAGCGTTGACATATGTCTGGTAACAGAAGAAAGGACAGTAGTCGAAAAACCCCTGAGCTTGGTTATTGAGCCGTTGGCTGAGGTCCACGAGATTGTAGGCTGTGGAGAAGAGTGCCACAATCCGGTTTTTGTAGCCCTCGACTGCAGGATTATCGAAAAGGTAGAATGCCTGAAGATGGAGTCTGGCAGCCATGAGATACCAAGCCTCAATGTCTTGATAGGATGATGAGAAAATGCAAATTGATGTAGAGTATGGAGGTCTAGTACTTACCGCAGGACCTAGGAAACCGTTTCTCAAGCTCATCCAGATCTGAATTCAGTAGATTAAACATAGTTGATCGTTCACGCATCAAAGCACCTTCAGCACCTATCGGCATTGGTCTCGCCAATGATGAGGAGACGCGAAGTTTGAACCTCTCTATTTGAAGGCGCAAATAAAAAGGTGACTCAGCTGGAGAGGATTCGAACTGATTGGCCGATGGAGACTCGTAAATCTGGAAGAACAGCGGTAGGCCACAACCGATGCTCACACTTTTCGAAACGGTTATAGGTCAGTATGGGCTCAAATATTAATAGGGTGGAAAACGATAAGCCGCTCAGTGCCAGGACCAACCTTATAGCTACAACGTTACAAGCCTCCCAAGTCTGTGCCCATTCAGAACGCTCCGACACATCAAGCTGCAATGGAACTTTGGCAAAGTCTTGAGCATCAAAGGCACAATGGAGACCCATCTGCGTGCCCATTTGTAGCATGGTGCCCACAAGCATAAACGTAGGGTCTGACGTGCTGCTGCTTGTGGGAAACGGCCAGGTACACAAGAGACAGAGGGCACGGATGGTCGAGATGGAGTATGACATGGACCGTAGGGTTTTCCATAACAGGTCCGTCACATTCCTAGCCAGTCTGGGCAGGAGGGTTGGCTGCGATTTGTGCCGTCTTGCTGCTACGGCCATAATAACCCAGAATAGCAAGTCTGATCTCTCATAGTATTCGTGTGCGCTTTTCTTCTCGTCGATGATTGGGAGGTAGGGATTGTTGAACTTGATATACCTAGATGGGGTTGGCAAGGTGTAGCAACAGGATATCTGCTGAAGGGTCGACTAGTAATTTATAACTTACATACTAAACAACTCGTCAATCTCTTCTATTTGAAGAATAACATTACCAAGTGCTCGTGGCCGTGCTAATGGGAAAAGTGAAGCACGATGATGAGATGGTGGGTCGAGACCGGGACGAGTCGTAAGACATTGCATGTCCGCATCATTCGTTACAGAGCTGTCCAAGGTGGCATGGGGGAAGGTTGTAGATGCTGGTGAAGGATCTCGCCCCACTGGGGAGAAATTGAGACCGGCATCGGTCGAATACAGGGTATTAAAGACGGTGCCAGGCGTCGCAATGGGCGCTGGACCCGGCCAGTTGGTTTCGTTATGCTGGGATGAGGTTGATGCGTTACTCTGGCTGGCTCGCAGTTGCTCTCGTAAGATCTGTATTTCATTTTCCATGTCCGTAGATTGCCTACAGATTTGGTAATAATAAATATTCGTCATGGTTTCTGCGACAACTTGACTTGGACTTTACCTTCGTTTCCTTGTCCGACGAAAGCCATCGTCAATTCTACAATCAAGCCCCAGGCGACTGCACCGACTACAATAATCCGACGCGGTAAGAACTTGTGCAGAGGCAAGGTCACATCGAAGCTATGCAGATAGACGATTAGTACGCTGTGATGTGTTGACTATGTTGGAATGCAGAGAGAGAGGCCGCACCTTTTGCTGTTTGCATTCATTACACGCTTTTCGTCGACTGGACATCTTGTCGGCCTGATTGGCACTGAAATCAGTTCGGCTAGGTCCAGAGCCCTCATCTATTGGTCCAGAGGGTTGCATTACGGGCGATAATATCCTCTGGGCAACCCAATCAGGACTGAGTGGCATGTAAAGGAGAACATTTCAGAATGTCCGATGTGGCGGGGACAAAGTGATGTTAGCGCTTATTAACCCCAAGTCCATTTTTACTATAGCGTCTTAAAAGATGCCAAACCCCAGTAGTTGCATTGATGCATATAACCTAAACTTATAAGATTAGGAATAATAATATAATAATTAATTATTAGCATTAAGTTAAATAGGGAAAAGCTTAAAATATCACTATACTATTTTATAGCGTTAAGACTGTTTATAGAATATCTTAAGCTCTAGACCTTGCTATATAAGTTGCCGCCTACAGCATTATCTAGAGCTGTCGCTTGCTCCAGCCCCACAATAATGAAAAGCTTCTTAGGGGTAAAGTTCTTTACTAACCCGGTCCTTCCAGTCTCCTTAATCTGAACAAATACATCCTTGATAGCCTGGTAAGCCGGGCCAATAGATGCAAAAGGAAAGATGATGATCTTGAACCCAAACTCGGCAGCTTCAGCGGGTGTCCAGGATGGAGTCGCTCCATGCTCCACCATGTTAAGCAGCATAGGCGTGGGAGCCATGATCTGGCACACTTCTCGAGCCTCCTTCTCCGTGGTTATACCTTCGAGGAAGCCGACATCCGCTCCAGCCCTCACAGCAGCCTGGAGCCTGCGGATAGCCTCATCGAAACCGTGCGTCTGTAAAGCATCGGTCCTGGCAATGATAACAATGTCAGAACCGAGTTCCTTGCGGGTTTTATATGCCGCAGCGATGCGCTGTTCGAAGGTGTCGATATCGACCACTGCCTTGCCACCGAGGTGCCCGCATCGCTTGGTCTGAATCTGATCCTCAATGTGAAGACCCGCAACGCCAGAGCGGTGATATTGCGCGACAGTTCGAGCCACCATGTTGGGGCCACCGTAGCCGGTATCGGCGTCAGCGATCAAAGGTACAGAACTATCGAGGTTTGCGATCATCTCGGCGTGTTCACGCATGTCGTTTAGGGACGCGAAGCCGAGGTCGGGCCGGCCAAGCTTAGACGCGACAGTGCCAGCGCCGGTCTGCATTTACATAACCAGGTTAAAAACAGGTAGTTTAGAGGCCGGGAGTTTGTCTTACCATGTAGATACACTCGAATCCCACCTCAAGTGCGATACGTGCACTGAAACCTTCGTAGACACCCGGTGCGACCAGTATATCGTTGGATTCCAGCCTCTGACGAAGCTTGGTAGCGCTGGAGATAGCAGAGGCATTTTGCCCATTGCTGTGACCGTTGGTGCTGCCGTGAGTGTGAGACATGTTGACATCCCTTGCGATTGAACCTGGGCTGATCTTGCTTATTCGGCGCATAGGCAGGCCCGGCTTGACGACTTTGAAGCAGACCTCGGTCTCGTAAACAATCAATTCAACATCGCGGTCTCTATTCTCAACGTTGGCTACATGCTCGCCCAGCTTCCCTCCAACATGATCCTCACAAGAGTTCGCCCGAGCATATATCTGCCATCATGCGTCATTGTATGGTCTTGTGTTTCGGCTGCCACAGCTGGAGTGACCAGCTTTTCCGGTCTGGTCGCGGTACGATTTGTTCTTGGTGTTGTCGAAGCACCATTCTTTCCAGGCGTAGGTGGCTTATCTGACTTGGTTCAGGTCAAGTTTAAAGTTCGGCACTGACATCTGGATACGGTGATAGGCTTTCTTTATGCTTTCTTCTTGGTATACTCGCAAGGAGCTCGCCCTTCGAACTGCAGTCCTCTATTCAGGTCTTGTTATAGCGACGGCCTTCTCCGGCCTTATCGCAGCAGCCATTTTCGCAGGTCTATCCGATACCGCCGGTCTACATGGCTGGCAGTGGCTATTCATATTGGAGGGTGCTGGCAGTGTTGTTGCCGCTATTTTGGCCTTTATTCTGCTTCCAGACTTTCCTGATGCTACAACTGGGAGCCAGAAATGGCTTTTAACTGATCAAGAGCGTCAAGTAGCTGTCCAAAGAATTGCCCTTGATCGTGTGTCTTTGCCTGAAGCTGACCGATCCATCTGGTATGGTCTTGGTCTTGCTATCAAGGATGTCCGAACCTGGATTTTTGTAAGTTTCCGTACCACGCTCCAGAAATAAAATAACCAGCTAACCAATCCTTCATAGGTTATCATCTTGTGTGCCAATCACACGGCCTATGGGTTCAACAACTTCTTCCCCACGTCAGTCCCAGTCTTAACTTTCCACTATAGACCGACATCTAACTTTGCTTCCTCATTAGTATCGTCCGCTCCATGAATCTCGGCAATCGTACCATCACACTGGTCCTCACAGCTCCCCCATATCTATTCGGTGCCGCTATTTCCTTCTTGGTGGCTTATTCAAGTGATCGTTTCAACGAGCGCGGATACCATATCAGCGTTCCAATGGCCTTCGCCATTATTGGCTTCATCGTTTCAGCGGCGACCCTCAATAATGCTGCGAGATATGCGGCATCGTTCTTCTACTGCGCCGGCGCTTTTGCTGCCAATGCAGCAGTTTATTCGTGGGCAGCTTCTTCGCTAAATCAAACGCCTGAAAAAAGAGCTTGTGCGACAGCTATTGTGAATTTGCTGTCGCAACTTGGCAATATCTGGAGCCCTTATTTTTTCCCTGCATCACACGGACCGCGCTACGTAATGGCTATGCTGCTTATGATGGCCTTCTCTACACTTAGTATTGTTGCATCACTATTGATGAAGGCCCTGCTTAAGAAGGATAATAAAAGGTTGCTTATTGAAGCAGAGCAGTCGGGTAGAACTGTTAAGCTTTATACTACTTAGGATCAGTATTTCATCTGATAAATTAAATTGAAAAGATAGTATCTATGAGCAATAAAACCATTAAATAGCAAGATAACAAGTAGATACTAGATCAGAATAAACAAACATAACCTCTAGTGCATATTTACTAAAACCATCCTGTGTAGCCCATGTACCAATATCCGATCGACCCTTTAGTTAATGATGATGCGCTGAGACTTGGGAGTAGCCTTAGGAATGACTATGGTCAGAAGGCCATCCTTAAGGTCGGCAGTAACCGCGTCGTGGTTGATGTAGGTAGGGAAAGTGAAATAGCGCGAGAACTCCTTGCTATAGCCAGAGCGCCTTGGTTCTTCGGGCTGCTCGGGCTGCTTCTCCTGTGCCTTCTCACTGAGAGTCTCAGGCTCTGGCTGGCTGACGGTCTTTGACTTCTCTGATGTGTGACTCAAGACCTCAAACTCGTCGTCATCGACATCATCCTCGACAGTGGCCTGGTAAGAGCTTCTGCTTCGGGTGTCTTCATTGTCTGAATCGGTGGCTGGGGCGGGAGCAGCCTCCTCAGTGGTTGTTGTAGTTGTTTCAACTGCCTTGGGCTCCTCTGTGAATCGCTCAACCTTGCCGCTGACGACAAGCTTGCGAGGCTCAGGGAACTCGACAGTGACGTGCTCCTTGTTCATGCCAGGGAGCTCGCCGTAGAGAACGAAGGAGTCCTCAGTCTCGTGGGCCTCAAAGCGGGGCTCCCATGGGCGGGAGTTCACCCGATAGGCAGGGCAGGAAGCCTGAGCTCGGCTCTTCTGCTGAGGCTGGCATTGGCGCTTTCGCTGGGGCTGCTGAACCGACTGTTCAAGCTCCCGGAGGAGATGATAGAGTGGGTTCTGGGGAGCCTGGATGTGGTAGAAAGTCTGGGGAAGGAAGAATGCCATTGTGTTGGTGTGTTTTGGCTGTGAGTTGTGAAGGATGTTTGATATGATGGTTCGGGGCTTTTGATTGGTTGAGCTGAGGCGATTTGTGCTTTTGGGCTTTGTTTGGATTGAATGAGTAGTGAAGAGATTGAATTCTGATGATAAAAAAATTGTCCAAAGCCGTCGGAAGTGATTCATTTATACATCAATATTCTGTGATTGACAATTAGGCAGGGCGTTCTTGCGCAAGCTGTTACTCACCATATCGAATTGCCATGATCTTGCCCGAAGCATCGAGAAGGTTCTTAGAACTTTTCCTAGCTGAGTAAGACGCCATTTGTCAGTTCTCCGCACTGACACTAGCCACAGTGGCTGCTGGATCTGCTTTCAAGTCCACAAGCCGAGCCTGAGCCAATAAGACTGAGTCATGAAAAAAGTCGCTATAACTATAGCGTACAGTGTAAGCAAGCCGCGGAAGTATAAAAGCGTTCCTTGTTCAAGTATATAAGTAATAAATTTGACTATATCTGCTTTTATACTTAAAGTCTAGTAAAAAAATAAAAAAGCCTAAGTCCTACTGAGGCTATTGCTAGTAATTCTTAATTGCTTATAGGGCTAACATGTAAACAAGCCTTATTCTCTGCAGCATAGGACTAGATTCCTACCAATCACTCGTATAAGAAATCTTAAAGCACCACACATACTTATCGCCACTGATTGCAGCTTGAGGGACTTGTAAGACCAATCCAGACGAGGTACGTTCTGTTGGGATAACAGTGCCATTCGCGCTTCCGCCAAGGGCAGTTACAGTATCTCCTGGCAGCCAAGGGACAGGGTCTGAGATAGTTAATGTCGAAGGCGGCTGAGTCAGGTAGAAGATGTAGAACGCGTCCTCAGTTGTGGTATAGCGAAGGTTGTCAGTCCCAGGCGTGACGCTCCAGAATCGAGTATCGTAAATAGCCTCGCCATGAGGGAGTATCCAGCTGCCGGCGTCCCGCAGCCCATTCTGCATAATCTGAGGTATGCTACCGTTATGTGTCGGACCGATATCAAGTAAGAAATTTCCGTTCTTACTGACGGTGTCCACTAGAGTTTGGACAATATCATTGCCGTTAAGGTACTGGTCATCAGGCGTCTGATAGTTGTAACCGAAGGAAAAGGGATCCATGCCACGGTTGGTCTCCCACTTGCTAACTACAGTGTCGCCATTCGTGCGGTATCTGATAGGTCATGCCGGCATTAGCTGACGTCGAACTTGACACTGCACTAATCAACTCAGGGGAATGAAACTTACTCAGGAGTGCTGAAGTCTCCATTGAGGCCGCAGCGAGAATTGAATGATACTTGTCGGCCTTGAGTACGAGCCCAGTTCAACCACTCCGACATAAAAATGGTGGAATTATTCGGGCCACCGATATCGCACCACATTAGCTCCGTGTTGTAATTGTACGCTAGCTCCCTCATTTGAGGCAGCTGGATGTCCTCGACAAAGTCCTCGACCGGAACATACCCGGTGTACTCGACGGTTGAATCATCGTATGGGTTTGTATCATTGAAGCCAAAGCAGCCGCCGCCCCATGTGGGATCCGAGTCCCTATACTTATAGTAAGCCGGATTGTACCACTCAGGCATGCTGAAATAAGTGCCGCGTCTAATGTGTGGCTGATATTGGGCAGCGGCGTCCAACAGAGCACCGGTCAAATCTCTCTTCGGCCCGTAATGTATAGATGACCGCTTGCTAATGGCATCTGACGTGTTGAAGAGTGCAAAACCTTCATGATGTTCTTCCGACAGTGTTAGCTTGAAAGGCTAGGTCGGAGGATGATCGCTCCCAACTTACTCGTCACAGGAACCATATAGCGAGCACCAGCTTCGGCGAAGAGATCAACCCACTCTTTCGGATCGTACCCAGCATCCGAGAAATTGGACATGAACTGATCATAGTTGAAGTTTTCGCCATAGGTCTCAGCATGGTACTGATATGTCTTCGTCTTGTAGTTGGAGTCGTGCATACGACACCAATACCATTCTGCATAGTCTTCGTTCGGCTGGACAGAGCCATATGCGGGAACGGAGTAAATCCCCCAGTGAATGAAAATCCCGAACTTGGCATTATTGAACCATTCTGGAGACCAGTGAAAGTTGATGCTAGCGTCGTCGGCCTGATAGTCCGGAATGCCGCAGGTTCCGGTAAACGCCTGGGTAGAATTCTTCTCACCATAATCCTGTCCGTAAGTGGCGACGACAGTACCTGAGCATTGCGAGCCGCGAGAAACTCCTGGCTTATTCTTCACACCGATCTGAACGACAGCACCTTGCTTTGGCGCCAAGCGGGTGAGCGTACCCGGTTGAACTAGGACCAAGCTATCCGAAGTGAGAGTGACATTCAAAGTGTCGGCCAAGGTCAGATAGTTGGCAGAATGAGAGTTGTATATAACCATCTCTAGGACTTGAACAAAGTCGCTGTCTTCGAACCATTTTGAGGTAAGTACCGGGTTCTGAATTTCGAGCGTTGGCGCATAGCCACCTTCATATTGTCTTAGTACTGGCGCGCTGTAGTATGAGGGTATGTTATTATAAGCACTCACGGGCGGAACGCCTGTCGAGATCGCCAGCGCTGTTCTCAGGCGCCTGGAGCGATGCAAAGGCAACCCCAAACACGGCAACAAGGCCACTCAAAGTACGATGCATCTTTAAAGCTTGGGTCAGACAGGCAAGATCGAGATGGAGTAGCGATGTTGAGATGGGACAAAGCGAAAGTCATCTTTCAGCGCCGTACATCTGTTTATATAGACAACCTTGACACTAAAGCCTCTATTCCTTTCTCTGTGCCTTCTCTTTTTTGTAAAGAAAAATTAGAAAACAACATAGCAAGTTTAATAAAAAGCCGTCGGTATAATTAGACAAAATTTACAGGGTCAAGGGTCAGTTGACCGTTATAAATTTGATCTACAGACAGTATACTTGTTTTAGCTAGAATATATACTTATGGGTCTCGGCACGATTATCCGTGTATACGACGATCCTTCCTTTCCTAAGCGAATGATGTTGCACGAGGGAATTAATTGCATTACACCAGGGCCCGTATCCTTCTTTCTCATCTGTATACTTTTCTTTAGAGCCAGTAAGAAACATAGTTCTGTGTTCCAGAATTTGTTTGACTTTATGCCGGGGCCAGGGAAAGAGCAATCGGCATGGAAGTAACCCACGATCAAATGGGTATCAAAGAGACCTTGCTTGGTGGCCTACTAGCTGATTGGCTAACCGACAGTAACCAGACTTATACAGGTTAAGCACTAAATGGCAAAGTTTAAACCTGAAGCAAGTATGCAATTTCCCCTGCTTTAAGGCAATATTTACCAGCCGAGATCCTGTATTTATCTGCAGGCTTACGATTTATAGTTCAATCTTTCAATTAAGAGTATAGGTCAGGTATATCATTTAGGAAAAGGTAACGGGAAATAAGACCAGGGACAGTTAGGTTGTCTGGTGCTGGATAAACCCCGAGGAACCTGGATTTGTTGTGCTTACACATGTGTGAGGCGCGTGATGTGAGCCATCAGCTGTGGGGATTTGTGTTTACACACGCTTGTCCCTTCACGCTTAGCTCTTGGAGCTGCTTAGAGCTAAGCTACCCCATGGGGAACAAGGAACCTTTCATGGGAAATCATGCGTGGGGTTAGATCCAATGCTACTATCCGTAAACACCTCTGATATAGTTATCCAATTGGGTAATTCTCTAGCCATGCTTCTACGGCTGGAAAACAGCAAACGCGACGGGTAATTGTGCTCCCTTTAATATCCCTTTTGCAGCTAAGGGGATCTACATATCGGCTCGAGCCAGGATTTGCGCGGTTCAAACCGCGTCATCGGATTACACAGGCACGCTTTGCACCATATCCTAGTTCGATATCGATAACAGGAAAATGTACCGGGGTTTCTATCGGCCTTGTTTGCCGACAAATCCTGAAGGGCGCTAGTACATTCTTGCCCGAAGCATCGAGAAGGTTCTTAAGACTTTTCCTAGGTAAGTAAGATACCATTTATCAATAATCTGCATTAACACTAGCTACTGTAGCTGCTGCTGCTGCTTGTAAATCTACTATAGATAACGGCGGCCTATAAAGTTAAGCTTTAGGCTGTAAACACAGATAATAAATGACAACAATCTGAGCCTGGACTAATAAAACTGAGTCAGCATTGATGACTAATTTGTTTCCCAGACTTTCCGTCTCAACGCCGCCCAGACTTGGCTGTCGAACTGTAATAGGCCTACCCGATACTCAAGCAAAGCATAGAATAAGATACGGTAAATGGCGCATAGGTATGAAAATAAATGATTTTATTATTTCAGCCTCCCTGCGATGTCACTGCAGATGGCCAGAGCAAGCGGATCGATAAATGTAGTTACTTTTTATGCTAACTGACATCCGTATGCCGGCTTTCAGTGTGATGGCTTGATATGTCTCGCTGAGGCGTTATAAGCTTTGAGTATCAATCAACCAACATATGTATGTCGAACATGCATTCACCCTTCGACAGTGATAAGGAACAGTCACGCTGCACGAGTCTTTATATGATACTCATTTAATACCCATTCTGATGAGCCTACTGTATTTGTATACAGTTTTGTTATCTTGCTTTCAAACACGACAAGACTTGCGGTCTAGATTGCAGAGTTATATCCGACTTAAAAAGCGAAGATAAAAATAGCAGCCCCTACAATGTCTGGTTCAGGAGGCAGCTGGTTCGATATGATCAGCGTTGGTAAGGATGCCACGCTCAACCTTACATGTGAAGGTGAATCACAGAATTGTGTTCATCCACTTTTGTAAAATAGAAGTCCAGACTCCTTTCAAAACAGCATGAAAATCCACCATACCTAAGCGGAATAGTGGCCAAAAATCCTACCAGTAAAACAAAAATGTAAGCGACATTATCCCAAAGCAGCAAGCGTGGTTCGGCATAATTCGCCAGTTTTGTCTCCAGCATATCAATAGTCAACGCCATAGAATTCATTGACAGCACTTAGCTCGTAGCCACAACAACAGGCCTTCTTACACTGAGCTTTGTAGGCAAAGCTAGGAGAATCTGGACTCGTGGCGTATATTTGTCTCAGATTGTGGTCTGATGATAAGACTTTCAGCTTTCAGCTTGACTGACTATTGACTTTCCATGTGAATAGAGTTATTAGTAGCTATCTACGCTTTATCCAGCGTCTCCGTAGCTCTTGAAAAAAATCTCTTGGCTTTCCACTAATTGCATCAGCACATCGTGCCTCCAACATACACATCCTAACTATTAAACGTCATTTTATTTATCGGGATTATTTACTCCTGCCTACACCATGGGGATTGTCGATGGATCCGAGATTTACCAGGGACCTGGTAGTAATCTATCCAACCCGAAGTATGGCTACGACTTTGTCATCTCAACTACCCAAGCGAGTATAAATTCGAATCTGTGCATGTACCTGCACAACAACATTTTGCCTTGTAATTACTTTTGCTTCCTCTCGGTAAGTCACTTCATTTCGCAATTAGATAGCCTGGAGTGTATGTTACAACCTGTGAAGCCAACTAATCAGGTCCAGAATCCCTCGAATGCAAATGCAGTGGTTCCAGTCACCTTGGAAGACCTTGTTGCCAAAACAGGCGGGGTTGATCCCTTCAAGGTCCCGCGGGATACCCCGCATACAGACCCTCGGGTCCAGGCGCTAACCAAGGTGGGATTCGCCGTTGGTGTCAAGATCCGCATGGGGCTTCCTCCAGGTGTAGAGCCCAAGAACCTCCCTCCCATTCTAGAGCTTGGCGATGTTGCCAACTTTGCCACGTTCAATATTCTCTGCTCTGACTTTCATATCGTTGAGAACGAGCTGGGTACCTCAGCCAGTCCCAATGGTAAATGGAATGTCTGGAGGCAGCCATCGGGCCGTCCATGGACTCTCAAAACATGGGTCAGCCTCGTTCATGCTAGCCTCGACAATCAATTGAATGGTTCACCGCACTTCGCCAAAAACCCAGCCAAGAAGCAACGACTCCTCAAAAGGCTTCAGAACATTTCTAGCACGTCCTTCAGTCTGCAACAGCTGTTGCTGGATATGGATAATGCGACGGTTCAGAATGTCCCTGTCATCGAAGGCATGAGGCCTGGCAGTCGAGCTCACCTTGTTGTCTCTGGCCAACTTGGGAACATCTGGAAGGATTTCACCAAGAATTGCCACTGTCCTCCAATTTCCGTTGTCGCCGTTCCTCAAACATCATCAGACCCTTCTAAGCTCCACTTGAAATCCTTCGATCTCCAAGTCAACCGTGTCAAGGACCGCAACGGAGATGTCGTCAAGAATCCTACCAAGGAACAGCTTGCTGCAACCACTCTCGATTACCGCTGCATGGCAAGTGGCATAAAGCTACAACCTGCTAAGCCTTTCTCTTGGAATTGGGTCGAACCAACAAGCATCAATTCCGAGAGCGGTGTTGTCGCCATCAAGAGACAAGTCTTTTCTCAGTATTTACTTGATGCCATTCTCCCTCAAGTTAAGAAAAGCTGCATCACCACGGACCCCGTCGTGGGACATCGTTCGTACGAAAACGGGAAACTATGGGTAGATTGGTCCTTGACCACCATTAACAACCAGACGCCCGAGTCTGCCCCTTTTAGCGCGGGCGACCAACTATGGGATATTAGCTACACTTCTGTTGACGACCCAGACACAATCTCAACACGTGGATCCGTGTGTGGCTCAGATTATTGTCGCTTGGACGTCATCCCTTATTATCAATGCACAGTCTCACTGGTCGGCAACACTCTGAAGATTGGTCAAGAACTTAATGTCAAAGTCATGTTTAAGTGCTCTGGTGTTCCACTTGGCCCGATAAGGATCTCTTTCCATGAGGAATGCAATGCAATCTGGGCAATTTCTAACGATAACTATGAGTTATCAGTTGGGCAGACAGGTTGTCTTCAGATTATCCATACCGGAAGCTTTCCAGAGCATTCTTATAACGAATTCCAGAATAACGACTCTTATCTTCAGACCAAAGAGCTATTGGGCAAGATCAAAAGCGTCTTCACAGTACCAGCGCCCATCGACTTCACCACCATCAATGCCGCTGCTTTGCAGAACTTTGTCTTTCCTGGCGGTAAGGTCTTTACCTATAAGAATGTCAGAGCGGCACCAAGTGGCGATCTCCTCTGTAGTCTGACCTATGTGGACCCCGACGAAGCCATCACTTCTCCAGCAATGCTCAAGGTATGTCTAGAAGACATTGATCTGATGGCTTTTTATGCTGACTAATTCTGCAGATCCCAGCCGCGAAGGCCGAGGATGACGCCCAGTCTGCCCCAGTTGCTATAACAGCCCCAGCTTCGACTACTCCAGCTTCCCTCACATTTACAACGGAGATGATGCAGAACTACGTCCCCGGCGAGATCATCAATCCTACTGGCAAGTTCGAGGCCTTGCAGACACAAGATGGCCACTCTATTCTCTTCAGCTTAAGCTCTGCGAATGTGTTCCAGGCTATTGTTGAGCAGAGCGGAGCCAGCTCAACAGGATGGCGAATAGTTGACCTCTCCTCTAGCGCCCTCAGTTCCGCCTTTGCCAGCGACAAGAGCGCAGTTGTCAAAACCTTTGACGCCAACCAAAGTGCCGTAGACGGGACTATTAGTCTGGCTATGGTTGTTACCTCTGGGGGTACAGATCACCTGCTCTTGTCCCTGTACAACCACAACTCAACTGCTGCATGGACTCCGTCGCCAAATTTGTCTTGGAAGTTGGTTCCATTTGATGCTGCCGCGACATCTAGCGCTGCGATAGGCATAGCAGGTGTCATGTTTGCCGAGTCAGATGCCAGTCACAAGCAACACATTATTGTTGACATCGACCGCTCAACCTCCGACAAAATCAAGCAGATCTCTCGATTCTACGTCAACCCACTAGCAACAGACAGACACTGGAACTCGCATGGTGTCCCGGTGGACATCCAAGACGGTAACTACCAAAGCTGCGTTGGCAGGTTCCAGAATGAGCTCGTTGACGGAGTCTTTACCTGCGGTGTATCTGGAACTTCAGGCCAACTGGTCTATGTCCCCATCAGCAACGCCTTTGGTTCGGGCCCGCCTGCGTCTCGCACTCTCAGCCTCCCGGGAAACGTCGCAGCGTCGGCGATAGCAACGGCAAGAGCATACAATAACTCGACAGACTTGTATGCCATTGGGGGCCAGACTCTCTTCTGGTTCCCTGCAAACAGCCAGGCAGGACAGTCAGTTGCTACGACAATCTTCAGCAACAGCATATTTCAGGGCACGACCGAGCTATCAGCCATGACACACGGCGGTGTTGCGACTATTTGGGGCAAGAATGGTAATGATCAGATCTACTACTGCTCATGTCCCAATACACAGCTTGGCACGGCGGCATCATGGAGCACGCCTCTCCCGTTGATGAACGGCATAGAGAACATGTCCGCCTTTGTGAACCGCACGGGCTACAGCAACACCATATTTGCTTCTGGGGGAACTTCTCTTTGGCGATTAGTGCAGGCTACAGAGACAACTGCCAAGCTCTGGCGACAGGAGTCTCTTGTTATTGAGGCACCGCCAAAGACCAAGGCTATCGCATTCAACTCGTACACTACCACCATCCAGCTTGCAGACGACAAGAAGATGCCTGCAGGTGATGTCCCTGTCTCTATCACAGCGCCTTCCCGGACTCCAGTCTACATCAATGGATTGTACTACGTCCTGAGCTCAACTCCTATCACTGTCTCCTCGGACAAGACTGGTACTTTGACGGTAGTTGAGGACACGTACAACACTCTCAACGGAACATCCATCACCGTTACCTGTGGCGGTCATCCAACGGTCATAGATCCATCAAACAAGCATTTCCAAAAGATCACCTCGCTCAACACACCCACTGCCTTGGGAGCAGCCACAATCCCCAAAAATGTCGTCGCGGGAGGCACTTCTGGGCCCTCAGTTACAGCCCCTCTTATCGATCCATCCACTTCATCCAACGACACACAAAGTGCTGCAACTACCTTGGGCAATCTCAACACCGTCTATGGCGCCATCAAAAACCCAAATGCACCTGTGAAGGTCGCCCCCAAGCCAGTCCCTCCCAAACCAATCCCAGAGCATCATCCCAGCTCAGGCTTTTTTGGGTCAATTTGCGACACCTTCGAAGATATTGGCCATGCGATCGAGGCTGATGTTGGCGATATTTTCCACGCCCTCAAATCAGGAGGGGAAGCTATCGTTCACATCGTCAAGGAGGCAGCAAGCAATGTGTGGCATTTCGTGACCAACATCGCAGGCAAGGTCTACCATGCAGTTCTCGGTACGGTTGATGCAGTTGTTGGTGCTGTCGAATGGGTGTTCAACGCCATCAAGACGGTGATCCAGGATGTGATCCGCTTCCTCGAGTTTCTCTTGGATTGGGAGGATATCAAGCGCACCAAAAACGTTATCTACAATATCGCCAAGCTGTTTATGCAGGGGCAGATCGATCTGATGGCATCCGCAAAGCCGTTCTTCAATGAGAGTTTGGATGCCGTCGTAACCATGATCAACAAATGGGCTGGTGACACAAGCTGGACGGCCACGATTGGTCAGACTACAACACAGCCCTTGTCAGCAAACTGTCAGAATCCGTCAGCAGGTCAGACATCTGGCTCACAAATGCTCTCTAACCACTACAAGAACAACGCTTCTTCCCTGACTCTCGTTGATACCGACACAGATGATAGTGCGGTAGAAGAGCTTGTTAATAATGTCTTGACTCGTCTGGAGAATGAAAACAAGACTATAACAGCAGCATACAACGACCTGAAGACCCTTGCCCACAACGTCCATTCTCAACCTCTGCAAGAGTCTCTCAAGCAACTCCTTGCAATGCTTGCCGATGTCTTGATCTCTACCCTTGGCAACGTTGGGGATGCTATTCTGGATCTTCTGACAAAGGTCGCCAGTTCCGCCATGCAGCTTCTTGACGCAAAGTTCCATATCCCAATCGTGTCCGACATCCTCAGCGATCTGGGTATAAGCGAGCCTTCTCTACTTGACCTCTTCTGCTGGATTGTAGCCGTTGCTTATACCGTCATATACAAAATCGCCAACAACAGTGCCCCGTTTCCCGACAACGACGATGTAAATGCCCTCATCAACTCCGATACCTGGCATACACTCCAAACCGTTCTGGGTCAACCACCTCCCCAGGACGAGCTCTCCTATTACTCGCGCGCCGCTTCATACCTCTGGTCAGCGCCGAAAGAAATCAGTGATTCGACAAAGAAGAGCATATACCGCTGCTTGCACACCATTGGGACTGACATTGATCTCTTGAATGTGTTTATCGTCCCTCTTGAGGCCGATGGTTCATCAGACAGCAAGGAGGACGCCTTTAGTGGGCCTATGTCAGTCCTAAAATATTTGCATATCGCTTGTCACGTTGTTGCTGGAATGGCTGTGTCCCAAGATCCTATATCAAACGACGTTCTCAAGGGCTTGCATTACAGGAATATTGCTGTGAAGGTTGTGGCCGGTGTTGTTCTCAAGAAGAAAATGAAGAATTGCACCAATAGAGGCTTTCCTACTCTTGATAAGCGCGGGATGGCGGCCTTGGTTAGTATGGTTATTGGGAACTGGGGGCTGTTCGTCACGGCGGGCCATCTCTACGAGCTGAGTCACGATGCTGCTAGTTCCGACCGGACGGCAGCTATTCTCTTGGAGGTCGGTAATATACTGGGTGAAGTAAGCAATGTTGCATATTGCGAAGCTGTCAATGATCCCGAGCCTACTACCAGAGAGGTTCCTCTCTTAGTTGTAGCTGGAGTGGGATTGATTCAGGCTGGGTTGGAGGTGTCGTTACTGGCAACTGTTGACTAATAGTTTAGGGCTATCGAATCTTCATGACATACAAGCCATTGTTTAACGAACACCGATCCTCTAATGCTTCTCATCCCTGAAAATAGTCTCGTGACTGTCCTCTCTCGCAGCCCGAACCCAACCCCGCATGGTCTTGTCCAAAAATACAACCGCTTCAATCGTGCTCTCTCGCTTGACTAGCTCCCGTACTCCGGGGAGTTCTTATCACAGGAGCACTAAGCTTGCGATAGTGAAAGCTACAGCAGCTGTGTAAAAGCCGACTTGTGCACCCTTTCCAGCACTATTTTGGATAAGTTCAGAGCCTTCAACGGCGTACTTGTCGCTCTCGAGTGCTGATAACCAACCCCCAGAACCGTTCATGAACCTCGCCTCAAAGACGTGCACCGCGTCTGGTGAGATTGAGGCGCCCGTCTTGTTGATGCTTTCGACGACCCCGTTAGGATTCCATTTATACGAGCCCGCCGAGAGCGAAAGATTCTTATCAAGTTCCCAGCCCAACCGGCCGCTGCTGTCACTGGTAATGACATAGAACCAGAGATCGAGTGCGCGAGCCTCTGGTTCGATAAATGATCCACTGTTTGCGTTCCAAGTGATTGTTATAGGCTGAGTGAGATTAAGTTTCTCCGAAGAATCAGGGCCAGTAAACTCGAATGCATGGCTGGCATGGAAGACGGCGCAGCTAAGAGTGGAGAGTAGGGGTGCGTAGCGCATTGTATATTGCGAGACAGGCACTGAAGAGTACCTAGATGTCGAGAAAGTGATAGGCTGTAAGTGAATTTGGCGCAGAGTTAGTCAAGTCGAGCTAGAAATGAACTTCAAGAGAAATACAGTAAAAGATTTGTTTTCTTGGAAAAAGAAAATAGAGGATAATAAGCGATGGAGAATGCAAGTCTTGTGACCAAACATTCATTCTGGGAATAAAAAGGCTCGAGGTATATCTACCTGTAAATGGCAGGTGATGAGCTTTTCTTGTTGGTTGACCCTTGGCTGCTGAGAAAGAGTTCCGTTTTGAGCCTTGTCGCTTACTCTCAGATGCAGAAGAGGCGCTTGGCATAGAGTCGAGACCGCGACAGATGTCACGTTAGTCGGGCGGGTTAAAACCCGGGATGCAAATGGCTGGCATACAGTCGTCGAAATAAAGTTAGCGAGGAGGCAGCCCGAAGGATTGATATAGGCCAAACTTGGTTTGAGGGCAAGTGACGGTGAGAAGAGAAAATACGGCATTGGCCGAGAGAAGCTGGCTTGGCGGGAGGGGTATTGTGGATGGTCGCTGAGACTGGTTTTACGCGGCTGGTTACGCCAAGATATCCCTGGCACTCAATTAACACAAGTGATATAAGAGTTAAAGAGAGTAGCACGGGATAGTAAATATATAATCTAAATTATAGTGGCCTGCCTACCGCTTTACAGTGGCGATAAATATATATCTATGTATATAGGATAATTATATAGAATAATAGTAATTACTGTATAAGATAAAGCTATTCCAGGAAGCATTAATTAGTAATAATAACTTCAGTAGTCGTAGGTTCCGGAATTGTAGTTGTGAACGCAGTAACACCAAACTGAGAGCAAGCCTCGTAGTACGCTGATGGGTTATTACAGTATGTAGCATAAGCGGGGATATCCGTCGGGAAGATAGTCGTTGCCGCCTCGCCCTCCGCACGACGGACAATCGCATTTGTAGGAATGATTATAACGTTCCCACGCTTGTACACTGTCATAGTCCTGGAGGATTGTCAGCTGGTTTTCTACCAATTGGTGTGAATATTACATACACTTCATATGAGCTGACTGTGACTACATTGAGTTCCTGACAGTCGGCAATACGATCTGTGAACTCAGGCTCGCCATTCATATCGTAGAGGCTTTCTGCACAGCTATCATCTGGTGGAGCTGTTGTTGTTGACTCGGAGCCTGAGGTCGTGGTGGCTTCGGCAGTAGTGGTCGCATCCGAGCTGGCGATGGAGGTGACTACGTCTGTGCTCTCAGTGACGGCTGCTGAGGATGTTTCTTCGTTGACGACGGAGGACTTAACGTAGGATGACTCGGTCGACCTGATCGTGGTCGACAGAAGCTCGGTGGAAGAACCCGTGGGCTTGCAAGGTCCAGCAATAGCAGTGACTGCGAGTGCAGCAAGAACGAGAGCGTTGCGCATCTTTTTGAGTGTAAAGACCGATTTTGATAATTGGGATCAAAAGAGTGTATGTCTTCCAGGCTCACGACAAGAGAAAAAAGAATGTCAAAGTTCAGTTAACAATCAAGGAGAAGAAAGAGATAAATACATGAAAACAGGCCGCGCCACTCACCGGCTTTATCACGCATATTGTACCGGAGCTTTTCTTTTTTAGATGTCCTCGGCTGCAATAGAAGCCTCTAGTCAGGGGCAGCTGAAAGACTATTGAATTGCTAGACCTGTCTTGGTGCTTTTACTCAAACTAATTCAACACTATCGAGACGCTACAAGATTAGAGCCAACAAACAAGCTGACCCCTGTTTTTTTCCTCTGACGCGGAAAACTTGAGGTACCCGGCCGCTAACGGTATGGAGCCAAAACATGGGCTTGTCAAGATAAGCGTCACGTACTCAGTAGGTGCCCACATTTCCGTTTTGACAACGCGCTCAGGGACAGCACTTCATGACAACCAACACATTGAAAAAAGTGGTACGATGTTGGGTTGGAAAGTCGCCAAGATAACTAAGTAATCTACGTATACCGGATAATCTCCCCAAAGTCAAGCAAGACTAAGGTCGCACGGCTCCTCAATGCCATTTTGGGTCATAACTAAGTCGTGACCATCTCGCTCATCTTGGTACATACTGATGACGGGAGCTCCCGCTGCTAGCAAAACGCGCCAAAAGATGAGACATTGACATTCAGAGCCGTCGAACGCCATTCAACGCCGCTCGACGCCTCTGAGCAGTCTTTGGTGCAATCTTGAAAACGTGATTATTACATGAATGGAGGGAAGCTTGCATTAGCTCGGACTAACTTAATAAATTCTACGAGATCTAATTATAAGTTCCCGAGCACATATTGTAAGTCATCCTGTATCTGCTGAGTTCCTCATCCTGTCTAGTTATACACTGAAAATCCTTTATTCCAGATCTCATTTGAAACGCATATCTTAAACTAAGCGGCGCAGGAACTTGATCAAGATTAGTAGTACTTCAATATCCAGGTTGAAGGCAACATACCTCCAATCGATTCAAACCAGATTCGCTTTCGTTTTCATCACCATTGGATGGAGTAAGAAGGATTCGCGCTAGGTCTCGCTTGGAGGCTTGTGCCTCTATAATTCTCTGGTAACGCTCTTAGTTTGGCGTTGTATTGTCGGTCGTTTCTATAATCTTACCTCTTCGAAGGAGTTCTGCACAAACATCCTCAATGTAGTCACTTCTTGGGTTTGCCCAATCCGGTGAACTCGTGCCAGCGCCTGGTCTTCCAGTGTCGGATTCCTATTCAGTTGTGAGTCATCGAATCAGCGCAAAAGACTACTAACATACCAGCTTGGCTCCATTAAATAAGCTCGGGAAGCTTCCGTCAATGTAAGCCTGTTGACAGGAGCGCGTCAGTGTATCAACTTTAGGAGAGAGATCCATAAATGGCTAACCCAACTGCACCACAGGTTAAGGTTAAAAGTAGAACCCTGATATGAGGGTCATTCCGAAACCTCTCGATAACGTTGTGCCTTTCCTTCTGCATAACAGTGCCGTCGAATCTCAGACAAGGAATATGCTCATGATCAAGACTGGCCTGGATGACGTTGAGTGTAGTCCTCCAAGAAGAGAAAACGACGCTGGAAAAAGTTCAGTCATACTCGGTCATTGTAGAGTTCAAAATGACGTACCATTTAGTTTGTGGAGACTGCCTCTTAAGATCGCACAGCAACATTGCCACCTTGGAGGGTATTTCGTGAGGATAAGCTGGTATGCCCACCGACAAATCCGAGAACGGGGTGTCTGTTTTGACCTTGGCGATACAGCATATTGGCTTATGAGGACAGAAGTTCTCTCGGTTAGTCTCACTTTGAGAACAGACTGGACATAGGAATGCAAGACAACGAGAGAACCAGGGCATCCCTACTTGCAATCCCTCGTCGACAAGGCTTTCCATTTCGTCGAGGCGAAGACCGCATATTCGACACTGAATAACGCCTTCTTCGCGTCTCAGGTTGAACGCTTTCTGTGCTTCTGATTGCCAATCATCAGCTGATTCCTTGAAGGATGGCTTCTCGTGTCGTAAATGATAATGAAGACCGAGGTTGCATATCATGCGCATGGCCTCAATCTTTTGTAGAATGTTGATGAAGAAACTTGGCTGCAGAGACTTGAAAGATGCGGGGACTGAGTCATTGAGCTGGGAAAGTACTTGTAATCTGACATCTTCATACAGTTGTCGCTCGGCTGTTGTAAATTCCACTTGGAGCTGTAGATTATGAATAGGAGGTAATTGGATGACAGTTTTTGGGCGACGGATCAGGAGACAACTGGTAATCCTTTTTAACCGCTGGACTGCTTTCTCATCGTTGCCGGACTTCCATAGACTTGAGATGTCAGCGTCAAAATGTCTCTTCTCCGAATATGGATAGACACGTAAGAATTTGAATAGAGCCGTGAGATCCGATAGCCTGTTTTGTATGGGTGTACCTGTGACAGCCCACCTGGATACAGAATCAAGACTGCATATGGCGCGAGAGAGTTGTGAGTTGGTGTTTCGAATGTAGTGAGCTGGTTCTGGGTCGGCTATTTTCCTGCAAGATGGGTACAAGAGTTGGACATACCTTCATCGAGGATGACCCTTTTCCATTTTGTTGTGAAGATGATGGATTGGTCTGTCTCTTTGCCCTTCTTCCACTCCGTCATTACTGTGTGGTATGTTGTTAAGACGATCGCTACTTGATCAAGGTCTGAAGCCACTCGTAAGCGAGACTGGTTATGGTGGCAACGCCATGGTAGACTATTTGGAAAGCAATGTCTGCAGTCTTGTTAAACCCTTTGCATCTCTCAATCATCATACAGCTTAGCTCGTGACATACCTCTGAAGCTGTTCTTCCCAGGAACCCATCACTATATAGTTATTTAGTACTGATATATCAAATTTGCTTGTTGCATAACTCACGCGGGGCGGGAACGATAATCAGGGTTTTGCCCGAGGAGACTTCAATATCTACACCGGGAATTGAAGAAGGCTCAATGTCCTCCGCACGGACATCGGATGCTACCAGTGCGATCATGCTGAGTGTTTTACCCAGCCCCATTGGGTCGGCGACAATTCCTCCATAAAACTGAGGTGGTTGCTCAACTTGTACTGCGCCCGAAACTGTGTTGCAGAAGCTTTAAGGTGGATGTCAATATGCTGATATCGGACGGTGAGGGCATGACTTACTAAGACTCATGGCCATTGTCCCTCACTTCCCATATGTCGGGTCGACACCCATCCCATGCCCAGCCACACTCTCTTTGAAGCAGAAATGTCAAGGCTTGCTTTTGATGGCTATAGAGCACGATGTTAATAAGATTAAAGCGTTGTTACTTGGCCACTTACGGCTTCAATGGTGTTCTGATAGATCTCGGTTGTGCCGCCTCTGCAAGGTCTTGGTGCGAGAATATGATATCAAGTAGCTCCGAATGATCGTTGATATCAATCTTGCTGGCCAATGGTGCAGTTGCATGGCCCAGGTCGAATGTATACTTGACATCACTCGGATTCACCGATAATCTGTGGGGGTTATGGTATCGCACATTCCGCTTACAGTTTACCGGATCTTGTAGATAGAGGTCGTATTCTTCGAAGAAGGAGCCGACATCCTGAGATAGATCTGGAGGCCCATAAATAATAATCTCTAAAGTGCATTGTGCCGAGTAGCCTGGAATACGCTTTCCTGGGATTTGCGGTCCTGGCTTGGAAGGACTATCCAAAGTTGAACAATTAATTTCGAGCACAAGCTCACTCTGAATGAATAGAGCATGTGTCAAGTAGGTGAATTCATAGTTGACCCTCCCTTCTATTGAAGCATCGTCAGAGCCAATAAATTTCTCAGCATCTAAAAGCTTCACGCTATCGGAAAGAGAGTAGTTAACAGAAGGCCGACATCGGGCAGATAAGCCTTTGATCTGCCGTTGGTTTAGTGCAGGAAGGATTATTGTATTGTGGGATTGACAAACCATGCCAAAGCAAACCAGTTCTGGTTCGGGAGGACACTGGGGGATCCTGGTTGTCTCAAAGCTAAGAGAGGGTTCCATAAGGGCTTGGTAGTTTTGACGATTTGTCCGGACACCTTCCTGGTGGTTGATAGGATATTGTTGCTGAGTCTCAGGCAATGGGTCGCTTGGAAAGATACCTCCCGGCGTGGCAAAGACCATTGGGGGAAAGGACGGCTGCTGGGTTACGTACCCATATCCGCCATAGTTGTTGTGAGTGTTACCACTGATGTAAGAAGTTTGAAGAGGAGTATTATTGAAATCATGTGGCGAAGGTTGTGGCTGCCCAACCCATGTTCTAGAGTCCAAATCGGGTATGCCTCCATCGAACTCCCGAAACTGCGGGTAACTGTTGAAGGGATTGGTCTCCTGTTGCTGGATCCCAGAATTACTTGGCTGTGTTGCAATAGTATCGGCCAGATATTCACTGTAAGGCCTTTTGGATGTCGACGATCCTTGCTGCGGGAAATCAGCCATTTCTAGAGTCTTGAGGAATATGCCAGATGCCAATAGACTAAAAGATAAAGGCTGAGGCTATAACATTGATTCTGGAAGTTTTACGAGGCCATGGGACTATTACATAACGCTGCCTTATGCGAATCAATCAGCCGTTGGGCCATGGCCAGTCTGCCTTACGGGCTTGTGCAGTTGGCACCGCCATTTGGGCTATTTGGCGGCCAAGCCACCGCCATCCAAAACCAATCAATCAACGCCACGTAGAGCGTAATTGTTATTTCCAACCCCAAGATACTCAGGGTATGAGGTAAGTCAGCAGCACAGCCCCCACACGGTCTCATAACAGGTCTCACTTGGTGGTGGCTTGTGAATGTGAATGCCATTCCTCACATAATATCTGCCACTCTCAAGGTTTCTGTACTCTCGATTCCCGTAATATCGACTGTAAGATGTTTGTTTCATGATCTGCCCAACAATCTGTTCGGATACCATTCGCTGTTCTATCAAATTGCTAGACCTGCAACATGCCGCTTGCTCCTGTAGTCAATTTGGATGCCCGACGCACTATTGAAAAGGCATTCAAAGATCTAGAAAGGACAGTATCAGCTAGCGATCGCATAAGCCTCCAGGATACAACACTTGACGATGTACGAAAAGCAGCGCACCTGGTCGAAGACGAACTTGCGGCTCGTCAATCGCTCCGTAATATGAAAAGACTTGAGCCTCTTTTTACGGGTTTGGAATATTACTCCAAGACAATCGAGGTCTTATGCAACGGGACTCCATATATGCCGTGGATCTGGGCTCCAATCAAGCTCATTCTCAAGGTAAGCTTTTTAGTTGTGTGTACTAAGATGTTAATAGCTTGTTAGATCTCCTCCGACTACGTCGAAGCCTTTGAGAAAATTATCAAGGTCTATGGCCAAATTGCCGAACCATTAAAAAGGTTCCAGAAGCTCAGTCGCGCATTTTATAGCGATAAAGATATCCAGCAGACTCTCGCCACATTTTATTCGGATATTCTCAAATTTCATACAGAAGCATATCAGTTTGTTCGCCGTGGTTGTGAGTTTCCCATTAGAATACATAGCGGATCATACCACTAGCTGACTTCATAAGCCTGGCGACTACTATTTCTTACATCGTGGGGCCGGTTCCAACGGCGTTTTGAAAGCATTATCCAAGATTTGAAGGCTCACGAAGAATTAGTTGATAAGATGGCTGCTGCGACTAACATTGCCGAATCAAAGGAATTGAGGCAGAAGATGGAAGCCTGGAGACAGGAACAAGTGGACAGAATGGCTAAGGGAGAGACAGAAGAGATCACAAGGCAATACCTTGCAATCACCAGCTACCTCAAGGTCGATGAATCTATAAACGCAAAAACCTTCGATGCTATTGCTACAGAGGCAGTTGAAAGTGTCGGGACGAGCAGCTGGATCTTGAACCAGTCTGAGATACAGGGTTGGTTAAAATGTCACCCCTCTTCCACATTCGTCCTTCTTCACGGGCGTCCTGGAAGTGGGAAGAGTGTGCTGGCAACGCAGATCGTCCAGTTCCTCCAGGCATCCCAGCAATCATTAACCATGTCACATTTCTGCACATATGCTTATGAAGAGTCCATGGACTATGACAAGCTATTGAAGAGTCTTCTTCTGCAGCTCATTCGCTCGGACAGAGACCTCATCGATTATGTATATGATATGTTACTGCGCAAAAGGAAGGTTCCCAGCTATAAACTGGTCGAAGCACTCATTTTAGACTCGATACGCGCCTCGTCACTTGACCCTTCACGCACTAAGTACATCCACGTCGTCATAGATGGACTAGACGAATGCGATCAAGCGACGCAGTCTAAAGTCACAAAACTTATGAGGCGCATGGTATCTGCCGCCTTCTCATCCGGTTCGACTATCTGCAAAGTATTGCTTTCGAGTCGCTCTTCTCCTGCAATCACGAAAACGGCAAAACAATCGCAAACAGTGTGTCTCTCTAACGAGAACAAGCACCTAGAAAAGGCCATCGAGGCGTATGCATTATACAGACTTTCTCTCCTCGAACTGGAGCTTTCTCAACTACAAGTGACTTCTAGCGATATCTCTGACCTGAGTTGTCGTATTGCGAAAAGAGCAGAAGGTAATCCCCAGCCCTGGTATGTTCTTGGAGTATGGATTAATGTTTCTCAGGAATGTTTCTCTGGGCCCGACTCGTATTGGATTACTTGACAAACAATATGTTCTTGCAGCGAGAGGAAGTTTTGTCCGCCCCTGAAGCCTTGCCCCGAGCACTGCAGCAATTGTAAGAATATAATTTATTTCCTGGTGACGAGGAAACTGACAGATGCTATAGCTATGAGAAGATCTTGACACAAACAACTGCTCACTTTGACGAGCGGTCTCTGGAGCGCATAAAACTAATCTTCGAGTGGATCGCATTTGCGAAAAGACCTCTTCGAAAGGCTGAGTTCCGATCTGCTTTGGCTTTCAGCTCCGGAAACCCGATGACTGACAAACTGGCACCTCAATATTTGTTTGACAGGTGCAGTCCCCTGATAGAGGAGCGACACGACTCAACATTCGCATTTATCCATGTTTCTGTGAGAGAGTAAGCAGTTAGATTTACCCTGTCTAGAGGATGATGCTGATATGCGCAGCTATCTGGAAAGCAGTGATAGCATAATGCCCATTGATGAGTCTAGCAGCGTCGTGTCACATGGGCAAGCAATCGCAGCGTGTCTTGTCTCTGGCTTGCAAATTTTCACGCCGAATTATCCCGAACATAAGCGTCAATTGAGAGTTCTTCGTGGCATTCATGCCTTCCACACTTATGCCAGCCAATATTGGGTGCATTATGTGCTCGACAACTGCAGTGCTCCCGAGACAATGCACCGATCCAGTTTCTTGGCCTTATGCAGCGAGCTCCGTGACAAGTTCAACCCAGCGTCTGATACCTGTCACAGCGCGGATATTGGGACGCCCACTTGTCTTGACCCACGGCTAGCGGCAGTTCATTCTGCGGACAAATCCTTAGGCGTAGTAGTTCAGCGAATATTGGAAGAAGAGCGAAACCAGTATCTAGAGGAACCATCGCTAGAAGGTTGTACGTATATTCTTGAGGCTGAGATGATATTCGCTAATATCGACATAGATTCGGTTAGCGACTTAGTTGAAGTGACAAGCCTCAAGTCACTACTGACTAACTACCAACGGACCATACGGCAGTTGCTATCGTTGCCAGGTTGTGCAGGAGTCAGCTTGCATGATCTCGAGAGATTCAGACAAGAATTTCGAACCTCTGCATTTACTTGTCGCCTACCTTCGTGTTGGCGGTCAGTAGAGGGGTTCGAGACTCAATCCCTTCTGGTTACCCATGAATCCTCACACCGTAGGATCTTATGTGAGGAGCAGGGATGTCTATATCCACCATTCACAAACATCGAGGCTCTACGACGACACCAGAGAAAATATCACGATTCGCAGGCAGTTAACATAAAAAGAAAGTTCATCAGGGAGGTACCGATGCCACCAGGAGGATCGAAAGATTTCATAATGACCACCAAGATTAAATCTCAGTTACCCTCAGCCCTCGGTGCCTATCCTCATAATGAAGAAATGGTAAATCAATCTCCTGGGGCTTCCAGCCACGAAACGTTAGACATGCTTGCCGAGCAGCTCCTGGCTGCCAGCGAGAGAAACGCCGAGGTACAACAGTTCGTAGCGAATCAGCGGGCCCTTAACAGCATCAATCTACCTGATCCATATGGATTACTACCGCGTAAAAGCTAGGCATTAGGCTATAAATATAAGAAGCTCAAAAGGCTCGGGCTCAAGACTTGACTTCCACTCAACACTAAAACCGTCTTCAAGACGCTTGTCCATGGAGCCGTATCATAGCCGCCCTGAACGATGGCATTTATAGCAAGCATGATTTACTGTCAGACCAATACTCGGCGGAAACATGACCATTGATAAAAGGCTACTATCTATGTCCAGGTCTATTTGTTACAAGGCAATAAGGCTCTCAGATCCCACCACATCGATTCGGAACATGCAGGCATCTGGGAAATTTCAATGACGTGAGGTCTCGGGGAATTCTACCAATTCAACAATTCCGACGGCTGGTTTCTCGTATTCCATGACGACTGAGGTGCGGAGAATACAGCGATCGGACAACATACAACCAGGATTACTGTAGATCGCATCCACATTCAATCATCAAGCACGCCGCCCCGCGATGGCACGGATAATTTGACCAAACTAGTTCGATTTCCGACTGAAAAAAGCCGTCGGCTATTTTCGAGTTTTCTCATATTTCAGCTGCTTTGACATTGTGAAGCAAACCTCTTAGTTGACCTAGAACAAGGAGTGCTGTAGATCTTGACCTATAGAGTCTGACATCAAATTGGATCATTGCACATGAACATGTCTTGTGATAGAGGTTGACGTTTTACCCCCAATCTCCTTGGGGGCAAAGAGGATTACTGAGGCATATTTAACTTCGTCTTTCCTCTGCAATGTTAGGTCAGACATAGCAAAACAAGTTGTCCTTACAAGACTAGCAAGTTGGAATGTATTCACTCTTTCTACAGATCCTTGTTGCCCTTGCAACCTCAGTAGAAGCCCAGAAAGACAATTACTCAGGCTCACGGCACCTTTGGTACAATAGCCCGGGAAGCGATTTCAAATCGTCTCTGCCCATCGGCAACGGCAGACTAGGTGCACTTGTCCAAGGCTCCACCTCTGAGAAAATCATCATCAATGAAAACTCGGTATGGAGCGGACCTTTCCAAGACCGTATCAATCCAGGCTCGTTGGAAGGATTTCCCAAGGCTCGCAAGCTGTTGACCGAGAACAACTACACGGGAGCTGCGGGGTTCGCAGCAAGCGACATGTACGCAAACCCCCCGACGAATAGGTGGTACAGCGTGACAGGAAACCTGCTGTTGGACTTTGGACATGAGACCGAAGACATCTCGAACTACGAAAGATGGCTTGACACTCTGAACGGCAACACTGGTGTCAGCTATGATATCAATGGAGTCACCTACACGTAAGTGACATTCAGTTACAACAACAGTCCTTTTAGCAGATCATCAGGGCTGACAAGAGATTAGTCGGGAGGTTGTGGCCAACTTTCCTCTTGGCGTCATTGCAGCGCGTTTCACAGCAAGCAAGAATGGTTCCCTCGCGATGGGCGTGAGCCTTGACCGCGACAGAGGTGTCCTTAGTAACGACGCAAGTGACGGAGTAAACAGTATCACGATGGATATTGGAGGCTCGGGAGCAGACGCCATTCCTTTCACTGCAGGCCTTCGCATCGTTTCAAATGATGGTACGTGCGGTAAACGTTGATTTAATGTCAAACATTAGCTAATCATGATTTGCATGTCAGGAACTATAAAGGCAGACGGATCTGTCTTGAACATCACGAAAGCCTCCAGTGTTGATCTCTTCTTGGATGTGGAAACAAGATTCCAGTGGAGTTCCGAGTCTGACTGGAAAGCTGGCCTTGTGGACAAGCTAGACGAGGCAGTCAAGCGTGGTTTCGAGTCTCTCAAGACCGAAGCCATCTCAGACCATCAAAGCCTGATGGAGCGTGTAGATCTCGACCTCGGATCAAACAACAGCACCTCTAGCCAGCCAACAGACAAGCGAGTGAGCGCATATTCTAGTAACCCCGACGATGACCCTGAGTTTGTTACGCTGAGTTTCCAATTCGGCCGCCACCTACTTGTTTCTGCCTCTAGAGACGCTGGCGGTTCTGGTCTAGGAGTTCCAGCAAACTTGCAGGGTATTTGGAACGATATGTATAATCCTCCCTGGTAAGTCAAACTCCTTCAAGGATGTGTGAAATGGGATTATCTAACCAATGAAACAGGGGAAGCAAGTTCACCGTCAACATCAACACAGAGATGAATTACTGGCTAGCTGAAACAACCGATCTTCCTGACACCCTCAGACCACTTTGGGACCTCATGTATCGCAGCCGCGATAAAGGATCAGAAGTTGCCACCAAGATGTATGGCTGTCCAGGCTATGTGTCGCACCATAATCTTGACCTCTGGGGTGACTCCGCTCCTCACGACAGTGGGACAGCTTATACCATCTGGCCATCAAGCAACCTGTGGCTGTCTCAGCACATGATGGAGCACTATCGATTTACTGGTGACGAGACGTTTTTGAGAGACAAGGCTTGGCCAGTATTCAAAGACATCGCTGCATTTTTTGACTGCTATCTCTTTGAGTTTGATGGCAAATGGACCTCCGGGCCGTCGACCTCCCCCGAGAATGTTTTCGTTATTCCCAAAGATGGGTCAGAGGCCGGTAGCGACGAGTCCCTCGATATTTCCACTACTAGTGACAACTCTCTGCTGCGCGAATTCTTCTCCAACGTCATCGAGGCTGCAGACATCCTTGATATTGACCTTAGCGCAGATAAGGTCCTTTCGAAGGCGAAGACCTACCGAGATGGTTTACGACCCACCGAAATCGGGGCTCGAGGTCAAATTCAAGAGTGGCGTAAAGACTATACAGAGGCTGAACCGGGACATCGCCACTACTCACATCTCGTCGATCTCTTCCCCGCCAGAGCGATGTCCCCTCTTCTCAACAAGACTCTTGCAAATGCAGCCCAGAAGAGCATCGAGCTTCGCCTCGCTGCGGGCGGTGCATCCACTGGCTGGTCACGCGTGTGGACAGCAGCACTTTATGCTCGATTGCTCAATGGGGACAAGGCTTATGACAATATTCAGACTCTACTAGGCCGTCATCCCGCCACGAACTTGTTTCATAACATCGAGCCTGGTCAAGCGTTCCAGATTGACAGCAATTTTGGTCTTGTTGCTGCGGTGGCGGAGACTCTGCTTCAGAGCCATGCTGGTGTTTTGCATATCTTGCCTGCACTGGGGTCTCAGGTGAAGACTGGTTCCGTTTCTGGACTTGTTGCTCGTGGAGGTTTCCAAGTATCCATCGTTTGGAAGGACGGGCTTCTTGTGCAAGCGAAAGTCAAATCTAGACTAGGCAATACTCTGAAGGTGAGGGTTGCTGATGGTTCAAGCTTCAAGATTGATGGGCAGGAAGTGGATCAGGTTGAGACCGAATCAGGACGAACGTATACTGTTACTCTCGCTTGATCTCTAGCAATACACAAGGCAGTCCTGTCTACAGCTTAACCTAAGTTTCCATGATTGTGTTTGCATATTACTGAACTTGAGCTGCCAGAGCCCGGGGAGGAGCAATTCAGCCAATTTGATCTAATTTAAGCCAGGATGGCTTTGAAAGCGTTGAGCCATGCAGTAAGAATGACAGACTAGGTTTGTGACTGAAGTTCCATCGTTCAAATGCGCACTAGACGCTTCGTTCCATCGACTTGATTGGTTGATAAACTCCGCTGTCATTGGGTCCGCTCGTCAATCAGTCCAAATCAGGAAAGTGATCGTCAACTCTCCATGATGCCCAAATTTATTCCTCCACGCTTTGCTTTTCGTTATTTATACTCCGCTTCAACCCGCTTCACCATTTCACTGTTCTCTTTCACTTCTGTATTCCTTCTCTTACCATTTTCTCACCACGCTGATGTTTCTTCAATATGTCCAGTGAAACGAGCCTGGTCTTTGTTCCCGGCGCATGGCATAAGCCGTCATGCTACGCCAAAGTAATGGAACAGCTACAAAACCAACATCACTTGAGGTGCATTCCCGTCACTCTTCCAACAACAATGGATGACCCAATGGCATCGTTCAAAGACGACGTTGAGGCCGTCCGTTGTGCTATAAGGCAGGAAACAGAGAATGGCCGAGACGTGATTGTCATTACGCATTCTTATGGAGGAACGGTTGGGAACAGTGCTGTTAAAGGTTTCTCCTGGCCTGTCGGGTCATCTCCATCAGGCCAAAGTTTAGCACCAACACCGAAATCCAGCAAACGAACGCCAGAGACAGGACACGTCGTCGGTATCATCCCCATCGCAACCGGATTTTGCTTCACGGGGCTCACCTTCATGGACCACTTTCTCAACATAACTCCCCCATTCTTCCGCGTCAACAAAAAGACCGGCTATGCAGATCTCACAGTCCGTCCTCAGAAATTCTTCTACCACGATCTACCGCCCGCCGAGGCAGATCACGCGACTTCTATGCTCACCACGCAAAGCCTCAAAGCATTATTTGAAGGTAGAGAGTGTTCGTACTCCGGGTGGCTAGATGTGCCTGTATGGTTCATTGGAACTATTGAAGATCAGGGGCTTCCTGTTCTTATCCAGCGAGCTCAGATCGGGATGGTGAGGATGTTGGGTGGTCGCGTGGTTTATACCGAGCTGAAGACAAGCCATTCGCCGTTTTTGAGTCAGCCTAAGCAAGTTGTACAGATCATACTTCAGGCTTTTGAATCATTCACTGGCGCAAGGGCCGATGGAACGCCAGAGACACTTGAATTGGCAAACAAGCCATTTATTCCTCGAGTGAGCCCTTGGCAACCTATAACATGGTTCCGATACGGATTGCCGCTGGCTGTTGGCAGTCTTGTGGGATGCATTATACTATTGTATAGAAGGGTCAAGGGCTTGTTTCAGTCCGGGCAGACAAAGGCGGACTAGAAAGTCTAGGTAAAGAAAGAATCTCCATTCAATGTTTAGATATTATAGGTTGCTGGCTCAAGGGTTGCAAGTTCATTTTCGTCCTCTTTTAGACCTTATAGATAGTGGGCAGAGTTCAATCAAGGATTTGTTATCACTCTACTGTATTTGCATATCTACACGAGCTGCGCGACATGAGTGGTGCATTCTGTTGCAGTCTCACCTTCTCACTTTTAGACGTCAATGAACTGTGCTTAGATCATGATGTGATCTGATAAAAATGGCTGTTACTCAGCCCACCATGATGCAACGTCAGCACAGCTGGTCATTGGCGAGGTCAGGGTTCCCCTCTCCCTCTCACGTCCACTCAATTCAAACTGTCAAAAAATATTTCTCGCAATCACTTTGATTCAGTGTCGCATCGCGATAATTCTCCATGTCGTCGCCAAAGACTAGAACGCCGACTGGACCGTCATCTCCGGCCTCTGGGCCCAAGTCGACGCCGTCTCCACGGGGCGAACTCATTCCCGCCGCTGACAACGATGACGTGAGATTTTATCAAATGTTCTGTGCTGCTAGCTATGCTAACGTGCTGGAAAGGATGTTCAAGACGACGCCGATTCGACACTTGAAACGGATGCGTAAGATTTACTACTGCCGTCATGATCAGTCCACATTGACAATATGTTACAGTGAGAGCTCGACTGCCTCTGTTTCTTCGAGTATCCTTCACTACAGAAGTTTTCAGGGTCGCACGTTCCATAGCGACAAGTTCGTGACTGAATATTCCTTTCCGAATGATGAACAACAACTAGAGTCTGTTGACATTAGGTGAGAAACGTCATCGTCACCCTTCATGCCGCCTACTAATTCAATGCCAAGCCATCATTACTTGACGGTCCTGCTTGACGGTCAACTGTATCTGGCTCCTATCGGGGATAACGTCCAGGTATGTGGAGAAGCGCGACGAGGATAGGTGAGGGTAGATGTTGATATATGATTAGAAAGCGCTTGACGTTGGAACAGGAAGTGGTAAGTCAGTGTCGAGCTGATTCATGGTCATAGCTAATAAATCGACTAGGAATCTGGGCAATGTATTATAACTATCCGCTCCATTACGCGACGTGATACTGACGCACTTGCAGAGACTTCGCAGACCAGTTCCCCCAAGCAGAAGTAATAGCGACCGATCTCTCACCAACTCAGCCAAAATGGGTTCCTCCAAATGTACGTTTCGAGATCGACGACGCTACCGAAACATGGACCTGGAAAGACAACACCTTCGATTTCGTCCACATGCGTTATCTCTTCGGAGCTATTCAGGACTGGACTGCTTTGTACCGACAAGCCTACCGTGTTTGTACGCCGGGAGGCTGGGTCGAGTCTGTTGAAGCCGACATTCATTTTCGCAGTGACGATGGCACAGCTGAAGAACAAGAGGTCTATAAGTTGTGCAATAAGCTGTATGAAGAGGGCGGTAAAGCGATTGGTAGAACGTTCTTTGTGCATGAGTTACAACCGAAAGGGATTGAAGAGGCGGGGTTTGTGGACATCAAGACGGTGGACTACAAGGTGAGTTTGCAGCTGATCAAGAGCTCTTACAAGGCTGATTCATGCAGATTCCGATTGGGGATTGGCCCAAAGACCCAAGGCTAGCTGAGGTCGGCCGATTTGTCAAGCTGACATTGGAGAACGACATTGAAGGTATGCTTATGCCATCATTTGTTTCTGTTCTATGCTCACAGTTTATTCCAGGATATACTCTGTTGCTGTGGAACAACGTGCTGCAGTGGCCAAAGGACGAGTACCAAGTGTTCCTGATGCAGATTAGAAAGGCTCTTCGCAACCGCAAGATTCACGGTTATTTTGTAGTGCGCTATGTATACGGCCGCAAGCCAGAATAATTATGCGGCGCTACAGGATAACTGAAGTGTCTCCAGGTTGTTCTGCCTAGCTAACTTATCGGGCCGGTGAATCTGAACAAGTCACTGGATTAACACGTGGCAATATTTCAACAAGATCTACAATAAAGATAGTATATATACCTCTGGGCCAATTAAAGTCTTTTTAAAGTCTAGGATATCTTATCGTTTTTAAAACCGTGTACCCTCTCACATTACGGGTATTACTATCTTCTTGCCTATCTATGGCTCATATATTTATTAGTATTATAAAAGCTTATACTGTGTAAGAGTCATTATGCCTTACTTGATAATATATTTCTTCAGCCTAAAGCTCAACTTTATAGACAACAGTCAATCTTAAAGTGTATTCCTTGAAATCTTTTACCTTAGCTTTAATACTTATGGCTGCTTGCTTAACCCGTGCGGGACAGACCTTATCACGCTCGCAAATAAGCGACAGTCTACTGGGCACTCATTTTAAAGACAGGATATAAAAAGGAATAGCTTAAATAAAGAAAAAGATCTCTTATTTAGCAATATTCTGAATAGAAGATGCAACTGCCTCAGGCATATTAATAAAAGGACTATGTCCTGCGTTAATCTCCTCAGTATTAATCTTAACACCTTTAGCAGTTTCCTCTACCATCAGCTTCTGGATATGGATGGGGATCGCAGCATCCAAAGAGCAGTAAATGTATGTTGTCGGCACATGCCTCCACCCTTCATATGTAAGAGGCGTATGGAAGACCTGGTAGCTATGCGGCTTTAGAACAGGCACAATCGCTGCGACCTGTTCCGGCGACAGGTCGTTATAGAAAATCTTGTCCGGGGTCGATGCCTCGACGGAAAGTCTGTCCTCTGAAATAGACCACCATGGGAGATCTTGACCTCCGAAAGCAGCAATCAAGGATTTGCCTTTCGGAATGATGAATGAGCAGCAGAGCACAAAGTGCGCGACGGCACCGCCAGGCCCAAAGGCGCCGATTGCTTCTGCGGAAGGAATGCCGCCATACGAGTGAGCGACGAGGATGGCCTTTTGGCCCCTGGCGGCAGCTTTGGATATGGCCTGTCGAATGGCCGCCACGTCTGGGGCGAAGTCGGTGAGGCTCTGTTCTGCGCCAACTGAAGGAAGGTCGACATAGTCGACATTGAAGCCAGCTTGCTCAAGGATGTCGCCCACTGCCTTGAAGCACCGTGCGGGATGCCAAGCGCCAGGAACAAAAATAGCACAGAAAGTTGAAGGATCCATGGTCGCTTTCAATCGTTTTGTGGACTGCAGTAAAGAGTGGGAAGAGAGAACTACAATCCGCCGACTAAAGCGTGCGGGTCGCCTATAAAATACCCTCGCCTCACCGTGCCAAAGCAGCGGAAATGGGCTGACGGCAGCCAGTTATGTTCTGTCGGATCTTGACCCATCGGGTAATGATATAGGCTCGGCAATGGCGGATACAGACGGCTACTATGAGGGATCGTTTAATCATAGGAGCTAAATCTAATCTGGGAAAAGCTTATCGACATCCTAAGGCGCCATGGGGTTAATCTGCGAGCCGGCATCTTCTGAAAAGCTTGGATCTATAGATAAGAGCTTCCTGCCGCTTCATTGGTCTTTTTCTCAAGCAGTGCTAGCTTGTCTTCATGACAACTTGACTTTCGCTATTGGTTCGGGAAATGGTAGAAAGATCGGATTTGCTATACTGCATAACGCCCCTGAACGGATAAGTCTATGTTGCAATTACTAATATTTGGGCTGTGTATGGTACTACTATATAATAGAATTTACCTGGGAGGGTGTTCCAAAAGGCTCACTCGAGGATTGGGTATGCTCGAAGCTCCAGACTGCCTGGGAGCTGTGTTACCGCTCAGCCGGATGCTCGTGGTTGCTATTACTCCAAGGATGACATTGCCATGTTTAAAACACAGGTTCGTCATATTCCAGTATATATTTCCCTAGAAGGATACAAGAGCAAGCTCGAGACAGATATGATATCATGGAGGGGACTGCTAAACACGACTGCTTTAACGAATCAATTGCACTTGTCGTTAGCTCTTGGCCTGACATTACGCAATGATAACCTTTCCATCCATGGCTAGTTATCTATTATGCAGTATCTTCTCTAGACACATTGAGTTTAGACTTATCGCTGCAGAACATCCTCCGCACCTAGAAGCCACCGTTCCGTGGGAAGGGATCGGGGGGCTTATTGCCTCTTCTGATAACTTAAAACAATATTTACGTCAAATTCAGATAATGCTAACTGAGTTATTGTGAGACACGAACTGTCTCGGCAGAATCTTGCAAAACGTTATTTGTATGACTCCTCTAACTGTTATCAGTGACAAACTCATAAAATCAATTAGGCGACGTTGCCATGCCGATGGATTAGCGTTAGCGTGAATTCCGTTGGTGAGATGAGTCGCGAAAACTTGACTCTGGGGATTTCGAGGCGTCATTGAATCACATGAGAGATCACGGGATCAAACTGCAGTCTAATATTGCAATTGCGGTTACTGGTTGCAATTTGTCCTAGAAGCAATAATTGGTGCGTGCCCCGCGAGGAATTTCGTCATGTGAATTAGATTGCGTTAAGCTTGATGACATTTACGTTTTAACGAGATTCTTACGAAGCACGGACAACAACCTTGCCTTTTCACTCCAACCGTTCAATGCATACAAATGCAGCATCTGCTCTGACCTGTACTCAGTATGACGTCTCTACATTTTACAGTTGGGTATCTGGGGCTCCCTTAGTTCTAAGGGATCTCTTTATCTGTCCTCATTTGTTGACTCTAGGTTAGTGAGGACCGTTAGAATGCAACCTCAGCCAAGTCTACCCCACCTCTTTTACTGGAGAGAACTTAACCCAAACAAGTCAAGCCCATAGTGAAATCATGCAGTAATATCGGCTAAGCCCGAACTAGGCACCGGGTCATTTGAAACAATGAAGGGGGTAGCGTCAAGCGAGCAATGCAACGCATTCCTCGCCCCTTTTACGCCCCAAAAACCAAAACATGCACCTGTAAACAAACACAGAGCAGCCAAAACCAAAAACTTATGACTGCTTTTTACAAGCAGCCAGAAAAATAGTGTGTGATGCAATCGGTACCCTTGATGCAACCCTTTTGATTTCTTGGACAAAGATAAGAGAAAGAGAGAGTCGTAAGACAGGACAATGGCAGGCAACAAGACCAGCAGCAGCAACAACAACGATAAACCTCTGTGGCGACCGCTGGCCCATAAACTCTCCAGCCTTATCCCGCTGCGCCGCCTCAATAAAGCCAAGTCAAAGCCCGACGTCAGGTCCGATCACGCCGCGCAGTCCAACACCGCGTCCGCCGACTTTCGCCTTGATGTCCAGTTAAACGGCCTCGAGAGCCTGCGTCTCCCGAGTAGTTGGCTCCTCCAGCCCAAGGACGCCGACAAGCAGCAGCAGCAGCCTGTCGAAGCGCAGTCGTCAACGAGACTTAGTCATCACTTTTCGCGGAAGCCAGTTAATCGCCCTGAAGCCTCTCGACCCTTGACGTTTATCGACAGCAGCGATGCAGACCAGCACCAAGCGCGGGCATCGGCGCTGGAAGCCCTCAGCAGTCCGGATCGCTCGACGACGCCTAGTATTTTGGATCGTGGGCGACCGGTCGAGGCTAGGCATTTAATCCACCAGCCTGTCAAGAATCTCAAGAACCATCGCAAGTCATTACCTCTAGACCTGGAGACTATGTTCCAGGCTCCTAACGAAGATCACGATTCAAATGCACTACGCACCGCCACTATTCGCCTGGTGCCGAATGAAAGTCTCATCACCACTCCAACTACTCCATCTGTAAAAGAATCACCAAGATGGACGGCAGAGCGTGAGGCACGGTTAGCTATGCCCCCACCACCAAGGCCACTCAGCACCAGCCCAATTGACTCGTCCTCTACTTCTACACCATCCAAGGCCATTCAAATCCCACGAAACCCTCAATTGGCCTTGAAGCGACCCACCAGCCTCGGCCCTCCCCCCAAGCCCACCTCGCCACCGTCAGAACCTCAAACCCCCCTCAGCAGAGCACCCTCCAAGCGCCCAGGCGCACTAACCGACCGCCTCGCCTGGATGCGCAAGCTCGAAGAAAAAGACACCACCAAACCCAACAACGACCTGACCGCGCTCCAGAAACGAGCTGGCTCCGTTTCCGACAAGCTCGCCATGTTCGAGAAGAAGAACCTCTCCGTCACATCCTCCACTACCAAGCGCCTCCAACTCCCCGCGCGCAACACAAGCAGCCAGTACTCCGCGTCGGTGCGCGAGTCCATCTTCTCGGCGGACGGCAGCGCGTATGCACCCTCGCCTCGCACGTCGATGGACACGGCGCGGACGTCCTCTGTTATGAGCTATTATGACGATTCGTTCCGAGAGAAACTCGAGTCAATCGTTGGGCAAGAGCCTGAGGCGAATAAGCCAGCCGAGGAGTGAGTTGAGTGACTCAGTGCTCTTGTCGGCGGTTGATGAGATGATTGAGAGCGAGAATGAAGATGATTTAGAATGTATTTATTGATATTATTAGAGCAGGTTCTTTTTCATACGATGGCGTTGATGACTTATCTTAGATATGATTTGAGAGTTGTTTTAGATTCTCTTTAATATACTACACGCAATGTGTCACTTACATCGAGATGTTTTTCTCCTTTGTTTAGTTATACAATCTGCATTTATACTGAAGAGACGATACTACTGCCTCAAACCAATTGATGAAGAACATCCTTTCCGTCCAGCCATCTCTCTACATTCTCCGCCTGTTCAGCATACCAGTTGTTCATGATACCCTCCTCAACGTACCCCATATGCGGCGTCACCAGAACCCGACTCTTCTTGCCCTTTCCCCATTCTTGAGACCGCCATGGACTATCTGCAGGTAAAGGCTCAGACTCAAAGACATCCAGTGCAACACCGCGAATAGAGCCCTCATTCGCTGCATCCAACAGTGCCGCCTCATCAATGAGTGCGCCACGGGAAGTATTAACC